CGTTAATCCGAAGATGCCGTTAATCCGAAGTTAAGCCTCAGCCCCGTTGACTTCGGATTAACGAGGTTGACTATGTATTTCGATCTGATAATAGACTATAAGCACATTTGATGTAATAAAGACGATCCACGAAGCTGAAAACGATGGATTATTCCCGCATGAGGTTCGGGAAATCAATACTATGCCGTAAGTCATGTGTCGCGTTTCAACGCATTCTCTTGCCATATTAATATGAAAAAGTAAAATTTTTATACGGTCGGGTTTTGGGTGACGTAATTCTCATGATATTACAAGTAGAGAGCTACTATGAGTACTCCTCGTTATTTGCTAGATCAATTGACATCTGCTAACGATGAACGCCAATAGCAGACATGCTCACTATCGATGATAGCAAATATACTTACTTGGAGGTTTGCGTTCCTTTATTAATATACTTACTTGGAAGTTTTGCGTTCTTTTATTGTCTACACCTACGATTGAATGCTAAAGGTGTACAATATACTTACTTGGCTTCCCATCTCTATCATGTGAATCTGTTTAAGCTTGCATCAGACAAAATGTACTTTGATAACAGAGATTTTTCAGTCGAGTTGCAGTTACCTCTTTCATCTGATCTGACCAACTTTTTCCTTTGTATATACAGGCACAGTTATGGGCTTTAAGTCTTTCTTTCAATTCGGTAGTTGCCAAAAGTAGGAAACAATGTCTTTCTATAGTGGTTTATTCTTGCCGAAGATCCTGTCCTAATAGGGCTAACACGGGACAATCTTTATCACGTTCGTTTCATTGTTTAAACTTTCCATATACCGTTCCGGCCGGACACAAAGAGCATAAACAGAGTTGACTGTATACATTAAAACGAAGTAAGCCAAACCAGAAGTGAGAGTCTGACATTATGTGAGAGAGATGTTGAAATAACTTTGTGTAAACTTCGTTAAGCATATTTATTATTACTTTTTACTTGATACAAATCATCCGATACCATTTCAATAAATAACGGATAGTTCGACTGAACAACAATAATTCTAAGTAAATAACAGAACCATAACATAACTGATGATTTGTAAATAACCGATATACCCATCCCATTGCGTATACGTCCTTGTAATAATTAATAACTACGGCAGACAGTGTTTACTATTTCCTTAGCATCTGAACAACAAGAATGGATAAACAATATTAGCTAATGAATGTTATGTTACATCTCACCTGACAAATTGAAGACTAACCTTTTGCTCTTACATACACCATACAATATGGATTGGCTGTTGACCCAGTGGTATCGGCAAACACTTCACTCTCCCTAACCTGCACGCGAATATATTGTCATCAGGCGTATTGCGTAGCAACTAATTATACTGCACAGCCAATACATACCTCTGATACATATGAATCATTATATTTCAACCATCGTTCGTTCTCAAAATCATATATGTATACCCAGTAATGTCCAAACGATGCTTGACCTACAGATATAGGAAGATTAATAATGTCTCCAAGCGTGCCATATTCAGATGTTATACTGGCACATATACGATCCAGCAGACATACCACTATGTACAAATACAGCATGTATTCGATATGCGCATTCTCGCAAGTTTCCAAACTGAGATTGTAGCTTCTCCTTATGCAGATCAATTAATTCCTCGGCATCTGAACACATTGGAGAGGACATAATAACAATTAGAATCATGAAGCATATGAGCGAGATGCTTATAGTGAAGCGTGTGCCACATTCTTACAATGTAGACTTCATTGCGCACAAACCACTAGTACACCAACCTGATAAACCAAGCCTGAGTTTTGACGCTTCCTTACTTATACATGATATATTTACATCGACTTCTCCTATCGACTCTATCTCTCCTTTGTGCAGATTCAGGAAATCTGTTGTATGGTTTAATAATTCGACTGATGATAAGCCGTTAAACTGAATGCACAATTAAGTTAACGTTAACTACAAGAACAGGATTTAACGTTCACAGATTGGATGATCTTTATACCTTACGCTCGGTAAGTTTCTTGACATGTTCAGTTAACAGTTCGACTTGTTGTCTCAATGAAGCTGCCGCTCTCCGGTGATCTTGTAGTATTTCGCGATTAGAATACAGATACCGATCAAGATAAACAGTTTTATCAAATCTCATGTAAGCATTCGACTTGTAGGGGTTTGCCGTAGATCGATCGAATTGTACCCGCTATATAATGAATGGAGCCATATTAAAAACAGCAATAGTAAGCACAATTAATAGTAATAGTGCAATCCTAGACATTAATTTATCTATCAATACGAACACTATCTATTATTGCTAATGTTAGTGCTAGCGCTATACAAACTAAATAATGCTATTGGTTAACTGACCTGCAATTGTATCTGTAGTATCGGAGGTAACTCACTAATAGTAACTTCTCTCTCTGCTTGCGAACCCTTATAATCAACCTACAAAGCGGTGATGCATCGCAATAATTAATTCAATAGCAACAATTCTGTTTAAACAAGAATAACACAGTCTTCTCATACTTTGTGCACGATTTATGCTATTCCTTCTTTTTTTCTTTACTTACCATCGATACATCAAAATATCCATCCAGTCCACCATATAAATCCCTCCCTTCTGTCACAACAACAAACAACTGATTAAAGGGCTCTTCTTTCATTGCCTGTACCATATTACCCGTTGTTTTGTCCTTGTAACGCAAGATCTGTTGGGTTTTACCATAGAATAAACTGACATTGGTCATGGTCATATCCCCATCCAAGTAAAATTCAGTATTGCAACAGAATATCACATAAGTCAAATAGAAACAATATTCATATTCGATTCAGCGTTCACTTACTTCTTAACAACATTTATATATTCCTCTTCTGGCGATATTGTTGGCTTAATTGCAGCTTCCAGTTGGAACATAACGTTGTCCATACATTCTAAACAAACAACAGCCAATAGCTAAATCATTTCTAATGAATATGTCAAATGTATATTTACATCTACATCCAATATATATTAGTTACCAGCAACGTCCTGTTGTCTACCAAATAACATAGATGACGCTGTCCGTGGCTTCTCTTCTCTGATCGGTTCAGCAGAAGCCATAAATGTGCCTTCTAAATCTGGACCATACTGACTATCGTGGCTTTCTTTATTCTTCCCTTTTCCATTGTAGTTATTGTGATTTGTAAAATCGTTCGATCCAGTATAACTGGTCCCGTAATTAGTGGTTTTTATCGCGGCAGCTTTCCTCATCATATTCGTAGCACTATATCGTTCAAATGCAGGCAAACCGGCGTTTATATCAGTGTCCATCATCTCGGATGTGGAAGATTCTGAGAAATCCATCTTGGTTTCCGATGAATTTAAAAGATTGTCATTAGACGTGTCATTATCGTTGGTGTTAACTGCTCCAGTATTGGCATCGTCATCTGTGAATGTAATAATTTCATTCATCATTGACCGCACCGTTTCCTCTTCTTCGGCTTTTGCATTTTCCAGCGCCAAAGCGGCTAATTGAACGTCGGGGGCAATTGACTTTTGTGTTGTATGTATGAGATTGCTAAATAGATCGCGCAGAAGGCTGACGACTGGATAACGAATTTGCCATCATAATTGTATTGGATGCAGGCAGCCGATCAGACAACAAAATAACAGATTAATAGATATGAACGAATAAATATTCCAAGTCAAGAAGCACTTACAGCGTCTAGCACGTTCAACCTCGCTCTTGAGAACTTTGCGTCCGCCAATTATTTTGTCCTTCCAGTCCGTGTCATCAATATCACTGTCCGCATCAAATGCCATTACAGCTTTCCGTAGATCATGAATAGTAAAATAGTACTGTAGAAGTAAATTCAGGGGACGTGTGTGTACAAGTAAGAAGGGTTTAATTGCAATAATTGCGGTCAGTTATATCAATAGCAATGGCGTTCGTAAATCTTAATATATTATCCTTCATAAATAAATTGTAACAGAAAGACTTTTATGACTTGTGTAAATTATAGTTATAAGGGTGACAATATAGAAATTACTATTATTAATATTAGAATAGTGACAAACATAACACCCTTAAAAATTTTTTTTTTTTTGGCTGTTGTCACAATTACAGCAGGCAGTCCTTTGCAATAAGATATGAATAATCTCTACTAACCTGTAGCAACGAATTTAGATAACATGTGTTTCCTATATTATCCAATCCTACAGGCCTTATGAGTGAAATGAGATGAAGGCTCAATAGTCGAAATCAACAGAGAAACGTCATGTATTATAGATATAACATATCACTTACATGTCGGAGACGATATCCATCATATGATAACCTAATGAAAAGAATAAATTTAATGAAATCGTTGCGTATATAATGTTGGATGATTCCTTTCATACCTAAATAGTCTTCGTTCGATATTAATTGACTGTTCAATGCTTTCCCTATCGTCAATAAATGTTTCCGATAACTTGATCTATTTTCGGGAGAAGCTCTCGCCTGAATAGATTTGCAATTATTGTCGCATCATATAAGGATAACAAAGTAACAGAATACGACACTATATCTACCAATGATTTATATGCTGCCAATGCTTCACAGTCAGAAACAGTTTCTTCTGATAGGTTCAACTCTCTGCATGCTTCTTTAAGGTCGCTCAAACAAATCTTTCCTACATAGAATAAAGTGCTGTTAACAGCTCGCAATGAAATTACTAGATATAAGACCATGTGTAATAAAAGGATGTTCATATGTACCATGTGATTGCTCCACTGCAAAAAATAAACCCAATTTGTCAGATCTCCTCTCATCGGCTATCAGGCGTAGCGCCTCCAAATATGAAAGAGTATGTTCAGGTGCATGATCGATTGCCCGCTTATACGCCCATTCTAACACTTCATCTTGTACATCTGATACACAGCCGAGTACAGCATAACTAGTTGATCGAAGTGATATACTCGATGGATCAAACGTACTTGCCGTAGTGAATAGAGGTTCTTCAGGTACGACAAGATTCAGGGAAAAAACAACGTCAGAGTGAGAAATAAAGCTTGGAGACACATGAAGAAAATACTGTTCGCAGGACGCTAAATACTGACGTGTTCCAATAATATTGGCTAGCTTCGTGTATGGATCCTCATACTTTGGTATCGTTTCATTAGTGTCATTAATATAACCATCTTACAGCAAAAGAACAGTTAATCAATATGACCTAATTACAAAATGCACGAATATCTAAGACATTTCATAACCCATTGCAAAATTGAAATAACACATATTTCATGCAATATTACAAATCAATCCACCATGTACAAAATACTCACAGTTGTCAAGTACCATCATATATAATTCTTCCTTCACGCGTTTTAGAAAATCTCTTCTTCCTTCATCCTCAAGAAGAGGAGGTTCATAGCACCCATCTTCTCCTATGTGAAAATCCAATATTTGGAAGAAGGCCTGGCTAGAGAGAAAAACCAGTCAGAAACAACAACGTTAAAAAATTCTTGATAAGCCATCGAAATCGGATAACACCAACCTCACATCATCGAATCCAATTTTAGTAAATTCTTCGTCAGTTATTCTTATCCCTTTACCACTGCCTGACAAAAGCTCGGAGAGATATTTTCCTAATGCTAAGACAATGTCCCTCAGTTCAATTGTTGGCTCTGTTCCGTTAGTTATTGAAGGACTATCGTACGTATATGGAAGTCTCCTATTCCTGAGTAGATCACTCATAATCTCCATTGGCATGAAAGGATCTGCGATATTAACGTTAACAGTAAAATCACATTGACAGCAATGTGCCGATATACTCGACGATATCTCAGTAGTAGTGTGCAAATGATGAAAAGAATTCTCTTGATTGACTGGACATATTCCTGTTGGTGATTCAGGTGGCTGATCTTTTGGTCTAGTTACTGTTATGGTAAACCATTTATGACATTGCTTACACAAGAAGACGGTTGACGCGTCATTGTCAAATAGATGTGATAGCCAGAATGAATGAATGTGGGGCTCGTCTCCCTTATGACGCGTTAAGGCAACCAGCCATGCGGCGGGAATCCTTCCCTCTTGCCGAGTGAATTGTGTTAGGTCTGATGTGACGGTGAAAACGCTGGTGGTTGGGTTACGGGGAGGAAGAGCAGGAGGAGTCTTCGAGACTGATGTGACGGACAGGGATTTATCATGTGCATTATCGTTTATCGTAACTAACAATCGAATCTTTGTCAAAACGAAGTAAAAGATTGGCAAGACAAGAAATATAAGAAGAGCTCTTACTTCGGGGAACCGTCATAGTTTGATATCTCTTATACAATATCCTCAAATGCAGTGAACGCCCCTTTTAGTTTTCAATAGTTATGGCTGTATTGAGTAATCACAGAGCAAGTACGCGGTTGTAATGAGCTTTCTGACGTTAATATGGTGTGAGAATGAGTATTCTTTGCATTCAGAAATCTGTGCTACCGATTCGTCATTGGACGACAGAAATTCTTTTCCAGATTATTATTATTATTATTATTATTATTACTATTATTACTATTATTATTATTATTATTATTATTATTAAATTCTTACCCTTCAATCAATAATAACAATGGATACCAAATATTATATTACTATCAAACCTGTGTATTAATAAAGATTACAATCTATCCCGCATCCCTATCGCAATACATACTCTTAAATGCGAGTCCACAAGAGATAATATAATATACAGTGTGTCACGAAAAAAAAACGCTTTCACAAAAAATATCATAACTCAATGGCCATGCAAAATTTTAGAAAGCTTATCATGTGCTTTATTATATATATAATTTTCAATACGAAATTCTATCCCCGTTTTTCTCCAAAACAAGCTCACACGTCTTTTTCATCGATGAAATTAAATTTTGTACAGTTGTTTCTGCAATCGCATTCCATTCTTCAGTCAACGTTATTCTTGACTCGAAGTCCGGACTATTAGATGGCCAGTCAATAGTCCGAATTTCATTTTCTACCTTAGCAACACGTGATGTGCTTTGGATCATTGTCTTGTTGCAGACGCCAGTTCTTGCCATACATTTTTTGAGCAGCAGGCAGCAGATATGTCTGCAATATACCTACATAAAAAGGCCCATCCATTATATTCGATGCAGCAACATAAAGGTGTTTTTCCCTTTCTGAAACCCCCCATGTCATTACTTTTTGGTAATCGGCGAATCAGTTTTTCGCCACTCTTATGCCACCGACTGACTTTATTCCGAAAAAGATCAAATGCTGTCTCGTCAGTGAATATAGTTCGGGCCCAATTGTCCCGTACGTGTGCCCGTGCCCAAGCTTTTCTTAGCTCAATATGCCGACTAGTGAGCATTGGCGTCGTACGAAGTATAGAAATGGCAGTATGTGAAATGAAAATATTCTGTGTTTTATCTGTACGGCAGAAGCGAGCTGCCGTACAGATATAGCACTATTTCGGCACACTTGCTGTCCAAAGTTGCGATCGATGTTTTGTGTACCATTGGAATGGCGTCCGTTATCCTTCTTGTGCTCGATACTGCAGTTTTTTAGATTGTCAAGAACAGTACGATAAGGAATATTGGTCTTTTTATGTATTTCCTTGGGGATTGGACGCTAATGATAAATTGTTTGTCGTTGGGCTTCAAGTCCATGGTTGCGATATTTATTACTTAAATACGTTTACTAACATGGAAATTAATTGAAAATTAAGACGCGTCTGTTATCAATAACACGCTTCTTGTTTAAATAAAATCAAAAATAAATGAACAATAAATAAATAAATAAGTCAAAACAAAAAAAAAAAAAATAACAATCATACCTAGCAGTTAATGCTTCATCAACCGCCTCATCGATAATGCTTGCAGGCGCTTGCCATGTGTACATTGAAGCAGCATTCCAATACGCGCACGAATTTGCGTTCACCCCCCATACGCATGATTTTTGAAGTCTCTTGTTTCCTACACGAACATCCGTGTAAATATTCAATGGGTTGAGATTTTATCCAAACCCGTCGTGATGGACCAATATGCGAATCCTTGGTATAGAAACGGCGGAATCGACTCCAGCGGACAACTGCATATCTTGAAAAGCCCATCCACCGTTTCAATAGCTGCTTTTGAGGGTGATTTGGATATACTTTTATTGGCAGCGTACGATGGAGAGCTTCCAAGTGTTGTCGTTTGTTGCGTGCTGCTGTTGTCCTGATCTTGCGCTATTTCCCTTGTTTAGGGTTCTCGTCGGGCGACTCTTCTTCCTTACTTGATTGCAAGGATATCTTGGAAAAGTTCGTGCTCGTCGGAGATCGCTTCATTGACGAAAACCATGAGTTTTGTATAGTATGGAGGGAGTGGAAGAGGTTGCGGCAGGGTCGGTCACAATAGGTTACCACAATCTCTGAGTCCATGCCGCAACTTTTCCGTTTTAATAAGGTCTTACGTTTGTGGGTTGGAGAGCTGACGAGTTGTTCGTAGGTTGGGGAGCTGAGGACCTTTTGCTTGACTTTTTGCGGCGGCGGCGGCGGTGATGTTAGCATTGAGGAGAGAGTTGTTTACTATTTTGATTTTCAAATAAGCAAAATATTGTGCTGGTTAAAGAATTTGGGGATAATGTCTTTAAACATATTTGTCGGTATTTGAATGGCAGAACCGAAAACGCGCATGAAACATGACAGGCGTAGAGCGGAGCGTAACATTTGAATCATTCATTATCTTTAATCACTAAAATTCATCGTTCATGTTTTTAAAATCAGTAGATGGCATACAAAATAAGAAGCAAAAATTCGATATGGGCATGCAGTCAGAATTGCAAAGTGGATGGAAGATGATATGGCAGCACCATCAAGGTATAGCCGACATGCAGAGTGGAGCAAAAGGAGATTTAAACTACCATGGCCACTGAATTCCAAGTATCCCAATAACCCTCTACAATCCCGTATTTGCTAAGTTTAAAGGCTGTACTATCACTATTGATATTGTAGCAGTTGCAGAGCCGCTAAATGATATGTCAGAAGCTTACAATGTCGAAGTCAGAAGTTTTGCCAATGGGCTACACATTATCTTGGGAGACCTGTTAATAAACTGGAACTTCCACAACAGAATACTTTATGCCAAAGAGGAAATGCAGTATGTTCTACAGAGAGTTCTGGGTGTCCATATATACAAGCTAGTGCTTTGTTTTTATCGTGCTGTTTCCAATTTTTATTTTTGAGCACTTTTATTATCTTTCACAATGCCAAAAGGTTCCGAATTGACAGAAGCTGATCGAGGAAAAATCTTAGGTATTTGAATAGGTGGAAGCGTTTTAACAATTTAAAATTCCGCCATCCACTGCACAGGATACCATTGTTCTCTGATAATTTAAAAAGTGCTTGAAGAAAATGTCACGGAATTAGAGATTGCTCTGAAAGAGGAATAGTCATTAATTCCTCATCAAACATATTCCAATTTGATTGAGAGCATGCCAAGAAGGCTTGAGGTATAATGGATGGCTAACTCAGTACTAAAATAAAAACTAAATGTTTAGAGCCAAAATCGGGCGAAATTGATTTTAATCGCAATTCCTTTTGTTTGATAATTCATCATATATAAGAAAGCTAAACACTTCAAAATTCACATGCAGATTTGCGAAAAGCTAAGCTACAAAATAATATAAAAACTTTGTGTAATTATTATACTGGATTTTGCATAAACTCGAACAACCTCCCATCAGATACTTTAGTCCAGGGAGTGTATATACAATTCTTTTGGTTTTTTTTTTCTGAAAGCACAATCAATTAGCTTCTGAACCATACAAACAATATTATCCTTTGTATAGTACACATGTGCAGGAGAGATTTTTGAAAAGAAAGACATTCCATATGTTTTACTAGTAAATTTTCATGTGGTGATCATTCATTTCTGGCAGGGTACTGTACATGTACATGTGGTTTGAGATATAACTGTTCAAAGTTTGGTTAATTTATATTGTGAGCAGAAATTTGAAACAGCCTTTTCATCTTAAATCTGGCCATATCTTAAGACCTTAACAAAATAAAAAATGGAAATCTCGTGTTACATGACCTTTGGATAAATATGATCTCTAAAACGAAAAATTTTCGCTCTTTAATAATGAGTAGATCCACAAAATGCACTCAAAACTGTTGTGAGCTTGCGAGGAAAAGGAGAAAACTAGCAGATTCCTTGTATAATACCATAACTGTATAATACCATAACCAACAATGTTTTTGTTAATGATGCGATTGAAGATGAGAGTAGTGAATATGAATGGAATGATAATAGATTAGATGATGAAGCGGAAGACCTCTATAGCATGGGCCACAAAATTATCTTCTATTCCAAATTCAACCCGAGTTGGGGTGCTGCTAAACGATATACACGAACAACATTGTGATTACACTTGGAACGGTTTAAAGGAAACTCTTCCACCTGCATTTGATTCTATTTCTCTACAGACAATGGATTGCTATAGGAAGGGATTGAAGGGACGACAGGCAGAATTTGGCATTAAAAAATATAAGTTATTGAAACGATTTTTGAAATTAATAATAACAGATAATAATAAAATCAATGTAGTTGATCATTGACATTTTCAGTAATGATTCCCCCTTGAAAATTGATGCGTACCATTGACTAACGATAGTTTTTACTTCTAAATGCGCATTTATGCAATATAAACAATTTTACTGTATAAAGCATCAGCTATTAGCAAAAAACCAGTTTATTGTGTAAAGATATTGGGTATTAGTATTTCCAGAATAAGACTCCTTGGTGCTAAGCACACTTCCTAGGTCTAAAAATTCGGTTTATAAAAAAAATTCGGTTTACGGTTTAGAGTAGATTTATTATTAATATCCGGTTTAGCGAGGTAATTTTTAATGTATAAATTCAAATCCGATTATCTCGTGGCCTAAGCATTATAACCACGTATAACTCAACGCGTTTTTCAAAGCGTCGTATTTCAATGTCATTAGATTCATCACACAAGCATGCTGGTATGGCAATCACTTAATTTTTCGTTTTGACTTGACGTGGTCTTATTATTATCATTTTTACAGCCCAACAATACTTCGAGTCAACCGAATGGACGTATCCCGGGTGTCTTGAAAAAATGCAACCATACTTTAACAACTACAGTACTGATTTTTAACCAGTGTGCGTGTATGTGTTCATATCTGTATTGGGAAATGAATGGTTATACATATTCTATAGAATACATTGTTCTATAGAGTCACATAAAAGTACACAGCTTTCTGTCTGATAGATATCCAGTAATAGATATAGGATATACGTTTCTACAGGATGCAGTTCATGCGTCTCTATATCGCTTTCGAAGACTCCATTCATTTTGAAAAAGATTTTCAATATTTCGTTCATATTACAAACCAACTTTACATTCGTAAAAGAGATTGGCAAATTGTCGTTTTGTCGACGAATTTGTTGTTGTTGCTGTTGATGTTGTGGTTGTAAATAATATAAATAATAATTAATAACAATTTCTCTAACTACTGGCCAATTTTTTCTATTCATATCTTTAAAATATACAGGTTTTATATCTACGTAAAAAACGTCTCCCTTAATATAATTCTTCCATTCTTCCCATATCAGTAATATTAGCGATTATTAATCTAATCAAATTATAATGGTCCTATTCATTTCAGTTTCTGTTCCGATTTTTTTCACCTTCCAAATTTGTGTTGTATTTCTAATTTAGGTAATGAAAATGGACACAACATCGGACTTGTGTCCATTTTGTTCCTCATCAAAAAAGGAAACGAATGTGAACACAAAATACGTATGGAAATCGACGACATCACGTATTCGATAATGTCAATATCAACTCCTACAGAAGACATCCCAAGTGAAGGGCATCAGGAAAATCTTCACTATCGCTAGAAGAATCTGCAAGCAATAGTAATAGTGCTTGTTGAAGTAGTAGCAGAGACTTATTCATGGACATGACGATATTCTTCGCTTTTCGAATTTAAGCTAAAAAATGTGATTGGCAGTCAGTTGCAGATCATCTACGCATTTAGTTACAGGAAGGAAAAAAATGGGAACATGAAATGAATAGGACCAATATATTTGACACCCCCTTTGGAAATTCGACATACTTCTCGTCCATGAATCCCCTCCTTTATCCAATAATGCATAATAACCGGCTGTAAATCTACATTCATTACTAACTCTTTTAGATGATGGATTCTGGCATGAGTTGTACATTTTTTCTATTTCACATCTTCTATATTAAATACCGGGATCATAACTTCGATAATTTTTTTAGCCGAAGAGAGAATGTCTTTTGCAGCACGAAGCTGCGAATCGTTATTTACAGGCAAAACTATTTCACTACTACACCCAATATTATCGTTATTATGTCGTTATTATTGACATCTTCAACTTTTATAACATTCCGTTTGATTTTTCCATTCCTCCGCCTCCTCCTCTTTAATATTAACAATATTGATGACCACTAACCTAATTAATTCATAATTCATTTTACACCCTCTTTGAAAATTCGATATACTTCTCGTCCACGAATTCCCTCCATCTAATAATGCATGATAACCAGCTACAAATCTACTTGCATTATTATCTTTTATAGATAATGAATTTCGACATGAATTATACGTTCTTTCTATCTCATGTCTCGTATCGCCATTTAATACCGGATGTGGTATTAATTCGGTTACATCATGACTTCAATGATTCGTTTAGCAAAAGAAAGAACGTACAGTATTTCGCTGCATGAATCATTATATACAGGTAAAATTATTTCACTACTACAGTTGATAGTATTTTTATCGTTATCGGTGTCAATATCATCATCTTCTACAAAACCATAAGGATTATACCGTTTATTATATTTCAATTATAACAAGTCGATTTATTTGACTATCACATATAATAAAGATTTTCTTTTTCGCTATTATAATCTTCATTATTAATATTTCATTATTTAAATAATAATATAATTATTATCTTCTATTAACAATAATTAGTTAAATAATGCTATATATGTAATATGTAATAGCACGTATAGTAGTGCCAATAACCGTAATAAATACAAATAAACGATAGTAACAGGGGGATAAACAATCGGAAAAACATTGCTTTTACACCGGCGTGCCCAAGCAGCAAACTCACTTCCATCTCTACCAGCTTCAGGGACAGACCCTTCACAAGCAGAGGACAAGTATAATCTTCATTATTAATGTTTCTATTAACAATAATTAGTTGGGGAAAAAATGAGTAAACTGTATCATCAGAATACGGACCAATGAAGGTCGTGCATGTCAAGCGGCAACCACCCCACCCGTATGTCACGCTTGATCGATGACTTCACATCAACGTCCCACGTACCTATTCACCACAGCCGCCTGTGCGCGCCGTGAGCACAGACGACCCTTCGGAGCGGATATCGAACGTTCACAGCAAGTAAATCATTTAACGATCAGGCCCCCAACTACTTTTCGTGTGTATCCTATTCACCACAAAAGCTCACGCTTTTTTGTCGGTAACGGTTTTCGATTAATTTGCACTCCGCGTGCCTTCGAAAACTACGATTTACACCTAGTGGCAGCGTCCCTTCAGATACACACTACTAAGCACCCTCACGAAAAACAATATACAAGTGTGGCCACGGAGAGCTTTCAAGATTATCCGGCTTTTATACCTAGTGGCAGCGTACCTTCGGCTACAGACCCTCAACAGATTTACCCAGTAAGAATTCTTACTTCGAAAACACCCCTATATCTACAATTTCCCTTTCATTTTCATCAATTTCCTCCGCCTCATTTTGTCCAAATAAATCGTCTTCTGACCCATCCATTGCATTACTAATACCACACTTTTTAAATGACTTTATAATAATCTCTTTTGCATATCGCAAAACTTTAAGCAGAATACGACAAGCATTGTGTAAAGAAAAGATGCAGAGTAAATGGCATGGGTGTACAAAAAAATAAAACTTCCAAATTTAAGCACCACCAGGAACTTTGACCCGATTTTCCCCTAATACTAAAAAAAGTGGTGCTTAAATTCAGAAGGACATGGTAATAGAAAATTTAGGATGGATTTTACGATGTTATAATCGGAATTAATGTAAAATAATAGAATTAATATCTAATCCTAATACATTTACAAAGACAACGGAACGTATCAAAAAAATTCGAATTGCATGGAATTGCAAGTGTCTACCCATGAACTTATTTTGCTCATGAGAAAGACTATTAAGATACGTGTGTGCAGCGAATGTGACCAATTAACAATTTGTGACCGCGATCCATCATAAGTCTGTGTCTCAGGCTCCATATAAGATTGCATGTTTTATGCATGTTTTCGGTTCCGCCATGATAATACCAACAACCATAAACATATTTAAAGACATTATCCCCCAAACTCTTTAGCCATTGCAATATTTTGCTCATTTGAAAATCAAAATCGTAAACATACATAATCTCTCCCCTCAATGCTAAAATCACCACCACCGCTGCTGCCGCCCACTACTGCCAAAAAAGAAACAAAAGGAGGTGAATAACTCATCAGCTCCCCAACCTACAATATTGGAACGGAAAAGTCGCAGCATGGTCTCAGAAATTGTGATTACCCATTGTGACTGACTCTGCTTCCACCACCCCCATACTAATACTACAAAACTCACGATTTTTGTCAACAAAGCGACCTCCGACAAGCACAAACTTTCCCAAAATTAAAATATCCCTGAAATCAAGTAAGGAAGAAGAGTCGCCCGATGAGAACCCTAAACAAAGGAAAAAGCGCAAGATCAGGACAACAGCAGCATGCAACAAACGACAACACTTGGAAGCTCTCCATCATATGCTACCAATAAAAGTATATCTAAATCACCCTCAAAAGCAGCTATTGAAACGGTGTCAAGATGTGCCTATAATGCAGTTGTCCACTGGAGTCAATACCGCCATTTCCATACCAAAAATTCACATACTGGTCCATCATGACGGGTTTGGATAAAAATCTCAACCCATTGAAGATAAGCTTAAGCTTTACACAGATGTTCATGTAGGAAAAGATGTTAATGAGCATGACTCCAAAGATCATGTGTATGGGTGAACGCAAATTTGTGCGAACAGTCATGCATATTGGAATGCTCCTTCAAGGTACACACGGCAAAGCGCCTGCAAACATTATCGACAAGGCGATTGATGGAACTATGGACAAGATAATTAATCAAAATATAGGGTTAGCTACAAATCAAAGAAGTTCGTCGATCCCGAAAAGATTTGCGACAAACAATGATAATTTGTGCGCAAAATCCACGTGGAACCGATTCTATGTCACCACGCCATAAGTCTATTATCATTCTGGACGAAAAACGCGATCTGTGGCGGCTTCATTTCGAAAAAAAGACGTAATAATAAGTGGCATGTTCCTCACAAAATAACGTCCGATTGTATATTCGCAAAACAAACGAATGGAAATTTTCATGAGTTTACGAGACGCAAAAACAACTCCGCGAAACCCAAGCGGATATTCCATCGATCCTGGCGTTCGTACACCCTTCACATGGTACTCTCCCACTAAAGGCGTAGGTAAAATTGGCCAATACGACATTGGACGAATTATTCGTCCATGCAAGCATATGGACAATCTCCTTTCAATAAAGGACAAACTGGCTGCCTCTAGTTCGAAACGTAAGAAGAAACAGGCCTTGCGACTTGATAAGGCAATCTCTCGGATGCGACGAAAAATCAAACACCTGCAAAGCGAACTTCGTAAAAAGAGTGCCGCATTTTTCACTCGTCGAATTCGATGCCATTATCATCCCTCCCTTTGAGGTGTCGAAAAACAAGAAAAATAACACCAAAAACTGTTCGCAAAATGCTCTGCTGGGGCACTATCAATTTCGCCAACGCCTGGTGGAATTAGGGGTCCGTGTTATTATGCTCGGGGAATCTTTCTCCGGGTATTTCTTGATGGAGCCTTGATTCTCTCCGGAGATATAGTCCGTGACTGCCCCCGAATCATTATCGTTACACAAATGGGAATCGCAATTAATAATACAAAGCCACCTACAAACAAAAATACCTATTCCACTCGTCTCTTACCCACTCGTTTTATAGATTCAGCCTGTCTCTCTACTTACTATACTTATATATCTATATCTATATATTGTTTGCTTTCTTGCTTTCTATTTACTCCTGTCACTTTGTTGTTTCGTTCTCTTCGTCAGATAGCCTCTTTGCTATTGTTCATCGTGTATACACTCAAGGTGTAATAGTATACATCTCAAGAATAGAAGCTGAACATACGAAAAGAAAGGAATACGAGAGAGTACCAATGTATGTATACACATATAAATATAATATATAAATATATAAATAAAAGATCACTTAATACTGGAGATTTAAGTAGTAAGCAGGAGAGTGCATTGGGGGTGATTATGGCAGTATTCTGCTACACACTACGCTTCTGCCATCCTCCATCTTTCTCTCTTCTGCGTACAAGACTACTGTCCTCCTGTGACCAACATATATATATATGCCTGATGACACCTTCATATGTTTGCCTTGCTGTACAGCCTGCTGATAAATACCCAGAACGTACTAACAGATACTCAAACCAATAGTCAATATATCCCTATCTTATATAGACACATACTCGACTAGCTTCTGTAATTAGACTTGCAGTTTACAATGGCTGATGAAGATCCATTTGACATTTATGGCGATGATACGTTCTTGGGTACCGACGAGAATGTGAGTATTGGGTTGTTGGTCAGATTGGAAAAGACATGGCTTTCCATGTAAAGAATAGCATGCAAACAAAGCTGCTACTTATATTAGCTTATTGCTAGATGTTTAGTTTGAACGGTATCATATTATAAATATATACGAATACATACATAGTCTTGTTATTAATTTCTCATCTAACTTCATATTATTTTCTCAAGCACGATGATCTGTATGAAGAAAACCTAGGCGATGAAGATGGTAATCGTCCGGCTAAACGTCGGCGAGAGGGCCATTATGTTGGTTCTTCCGATAAGCCCGACGATCTTGAAATAAACGAAGACGATCTGTTTGCTGACTTTGGAGAAGTTGAAAAGGTTCGTATATACAATCCACTATGCTATAACAAAGTTATCTGATGACGTCTTTTTGTGATTATTGGAAGAGGAAATGGGTGGAATAGTGAATAGTGCTAAGTCATGCTACTTTGAGAAGGAGTTGGCGGACAGTAAGATCATGAGGAGAAGATTAGTTGCACAATACGAGAAACGTCTTTGCAGACGTCCTCGTATTGTGGAGAGATATACTTCGGTGGGAAGTAACTCAGATCAACAGATATTTGTTGTATTCGTGGTATGCTCTCATGTACACTCCACTCGCTTGATTATATCTTCCCAGAGTCTATTTTCATAGCCACAATACTACTAATTACGTTAATATAATGAGTAATGTATACTCTGCATGTACACAACAACAGTATTCAAAAGAGCTGTATAAGACATCTGGGAAGAAACAACAAAGAGGAAGGAAATAAAAAGTTGAGATTTGGTTTATTAGCTTAAGGAACTTACAGTGATTCCATTTATTCCTCTCTTCCTCTTCTTATAATATAAATAACATGTTTTTCATATTGAAAAACAAACAACAAACATATATTTACATAAACGATTCAATAACGGACGACCTCCCTTCGATTGTCTGTTTTTACGTTCGTCATAATATAACCTTGTTTCCACCTCGAATTCAACGATAAACACATAAATCATCATATACTATCACAAACCATGAAACAGGATATATTTATGAAGACGGAAGAAGAGAAAAGAACGAATGGTCACGAAGGTATCAACTAAGGGTTATTTAAACTTGTCTTGTACCACGTATATAGTATGAGTTGCTATGGCGATGTTTGTATATTTCTTTGTACAATATGTATCTTATATTGATACCAAACATTAGATTTAACAGAGACACAAGAAGACACAACATACGAATCCCGGGAGAAATCATCGAATACACAGCGATCGCCAAGCCCACAGCCAGAGAAGAAGCCAGTTGTGAACGCTACAAATGCCTTGTATATTGGTGAACTTAATTGGGTAAATAGAACAATTGATTCTTTTGTTGGCTAGAATTGAGGATGACTGGAATTATTCACCTCCGCAGATATCGTTCATATGCTAATGATTTTATTCTCTAATCCTTCGGATGCTAGTGGACAACTGATGAAGATCTTCGACAAGTTGCGCGCGATGCTGGAGTCACATCAGAGTTGAAGGAGATCACATTCTATGAGCATAAAGTCAATGGCAAATCACGAGGGTAAGATAGGCATAATTGAAATGAACAGAGATTTAAAAACACTTTGGATGACTTGGCCGAACCGATGGGAGTCATGTACTCATTGTATATTGAGGCAATTACTAGAACAATTTACTGCATATTAATTGTCTATCATTCACCACTTTGTAGTGTCGCATACGTAGAGTTCACTTCGTCAGAAGCTGCAGCATTGGTAAAGGCCCGATTGGAAATGACGTACGTGGGAACATGTAGCGTTTGTTTGGTTGCCTGTATTCGGCATAAGTCTCATAACACTTTTCTACTTTTATAGAGAGATTACGGATAAGAAAGTTCTTGTCAACTTTACCAGCTCTGCAAACGGAAATCCATTCAAGACAGTACCTAAAGGTAAATATCCTTATCAAGGGTTTTATTTGCCCTCTACATCGTCCAGTTTGCTTCATCGACTGACAAAACGTTTGTCCTTCCTGCTATCCTTTCTATGTCGGGTGTCTGTCCTCCCTTGTAATAGAACCTCCATCCAAATCCGCCCGCCAACAACAGTCGTCGCATCGTTCAACACCACCTACAAGTACATCGAACCAATCCGCAACATCAAATCCACTAATTCGTCCGCCTATCATACGTCCTAATTTCGATTTCCATCGAGGCAATGCCTTCAGAGGTAACCCAATCCCGGCTGGTCCGCGAGATTTTTTTGCGCCACCCATGGGTCCATATGCTGCATTTCCTGGTCGCGCAGCAGGATATATGAATGGTTTTGGAACAGATGGGTCTTTTGCGATGAATCCCCTATTAAGAGGAGGAATGATGGGGATGCGTGGTGGGCAAGGAGTGGTTAGAAGAAATATGATGGGAGGTTGGTATCAAAATGAGATTCAAGACAATATGAAATAGAGTCGGACTGGAAGCCTGACAGGGCATTATGCAAATACAACATTGATGAGTAATTATTTTCTTCTTCGCACTCGCGTGTTTCTTAGGTCCTCATCAACCTGGATATCCGGCTCCGCATTTTAATCCTGCCTTCTTTGATCAAGGATTTGTGAATGAGGACGTGCCGGTTGCACCGCGTGGCCAAAGGTAAAATTAACGTTACTTGACATTATCATATCCTCATTCTTTAAATTTACATTGTTATTGTACCAAAAGAGGTTATGAAGGCGGGGGCCATGGAATGAAAAGACAACGGGAAGATGAAGATGGACGAGGTTAGTGTAAGGGCTTGCATTGTAATTATAGATTATCGAATCGGTCATTCTCTAAACTGATATGATGAATTTTGTAGATCGACGGTATTAAACTGGGACATATAGACGGATATCGTGACCATACAATGTTTGTAGATGGTTATTTGGTTGTTGTAATTGAAGGTGCCTTTCACCTGTTTTTCGTACATTTGTAATAGATTTAATTCATGCTTGTCTTTTCTTATATGAGAGACAAAATAAAAGTACGACGTGTAATACATTGTCATTTCAGTGTTTATGAGAAATCGACGAGAAATCAAGCCAAATTTATTCTGTATATAAATGACTTACATACGCTGTAAATTAAAGTACATACAATAATAAGTTGTGATGTGGGAATAAAACATAATTAATAGAGGGCTCATGTGTACCCGGAATATACGTAGATTATTTGGTTCATGGCACAAAACATCGTCGTTTGACACATCGATCTCCACTGCCTAACCCTAGTGCTTGCCTCCGCATTCTTTACTAGAAGTACATACTGTAATCGAATGTTATAAGACATCCTAACGTGTCATTCTTCCAATTAATTTTTTAATAGATGTTCTGTTTTTAAATACAGAATGCAATTTATTGTCCTGCAGGCGATAGACGTCTCCCTTTTTACACGTATCGTCGGGTTCGATCAATTGTGGTTTATTATTATCGGTAAATACACAATCATCCTTATTAAGCTGACGATAGACATTATCCCTTACTTTTAATGCCCACGTATTGGTTGGTTCAATATCCAAAGATTTATTGAGATCTTGCAACGCTCTGTTGTATTGCTTGAGCATGCAGTAGATTTCTCCTCTTCTACTTAGTGCCCATGCATCAGTTGGTTCGATATCCAGTGATTTATTGAGATCATTCAATGCTCTGCTGTGCTGATTAAGCATGCAAAGGACATTTCCTCTTACTTTCAATGCCCATGCATCTTCTGGCTCGATTATCAATGATTTATTGAGATCGTTCAGCGCACGGTCATATTGCTTAAGTATGCGATAGATCTCTCCCCTTCTACTCAGTGCAAACGCGTTATTCGGTTCAATTTCCAACGATTCGCTGAGATCATCCAATGCATCGTTATATTGTCCTAGCATACGATAGATTTCTCCGGTTCTGCTCAATGCGTGTGAATCATCTGGTTCGATTAATAGTAACTTGTTGAGATCATTTAATGCCAATTCATACTCGTTAAGCAGGAAGTATGTATTACTCCTTAACTTTAACGCAATTGTATTATATGGTTCAATCTCCAATGATCTATTGAGAGTATTTAACAAACTATCATTATCATCACCATCACCATCACCATCACCATCACCATCACCATCACCATCAACACCATCATCATTGCTGGTTTCATTATAGCGATAATCAATTCCACTTTTATTTGATATCCGAGAGTTATTCGTCTCTGTCTCGAACGCACTGTTACGTTGTGAACGATATGGCGATAACATTCTCGGCGTGCTGCTACGTTTATAATTTACTTTCATCTCCTTGTTAGTATTATTCGATGTATTGAGTATGTCATAGAATTCTCCTCCTTCATTCAATTCCCATGTATGATTTAGTTCTCCATCATCATCCAAATCAAGCAGATAATAAACATATTCTCTTATTCTCAATGCAAATACGTCATCTGGATTAATCTTCAATGATTTGTTGAGATCTCTCAGCGCCATGTTGTACTTCCCATATGAACAATAGATGTCACCTCTTATTTTCAATGCCCATGCATCCTTAGGATTAATCTTCAGCGAAACATTAAGATCTTTCAAAGCGTCCTCAAATTGATTAACATTATAATAAGTAGTTCCCCTTCTGCCTAACACCCATGCATCGTTGGATTCAATCTGCAATGATTTGTTGAAATCGTCAAGTGCTTCATGATAACGATTAAGCAGACGATAGACGTCTCCTCTTCTACCTAACGTCCACGCATTCCTTGGATCGTAATTCAATGATTTGTTAAAATCATCCATTGCATTGTCATATTGATTAAGCATGCGATATACATCTCCTCTGGATTTCAACGTATCTGCATTATTCGGTTCAATTCTCAGTGAATCATTAAGATCATGTAATGCATTGTCAAGTTCCTTAAGCATCCGATAAACGTCTCCTCTTGTTCTCAATGCAAATGCATTATTCGGTTCAACCTTTAATGATTGGTTCAGACTTCTCAATGCAAGCTTACGCTTCTTAAGCATGCGATAGACATACCCTTTCCTTCTCAATGCAAATGCATTATTTGGTTCTATTTCCAACGATTTATCAAAGTCTTTCAGTGCATTGTCATACTGATTGCACATGCGATAAACATCCCCCCTTCCTCTCAATGCAAATGAGTTGTTTGGTTCAAGTTCCAAAGATTTACTAAGATCCTTTAGCGCATTGTCATACTTATCAATCATATAATATACACTTCCTCTTGACCTTAATGTACATGCATCGTTCGGTTCAATCTCCAATGACTTGTTAAAATCATTTAACGCGTCCTCATACTGGTTAAGGTCGTAATAAACCACCCCCCTTTTGTTCAATGTCCATGCATTATCTGGTTCAATTTCCAACGACTTGTCGAGATCAATAAATGCATTGTCATACTTGTTTAAAATTCGATAGACTTCTCCCCTTTTGCTCAATAACCGAGCATTGTTCGGTTCAATCCACAATGCTTTGTTAAGATCATTTAATGCAACCTCATACTGATCAAGCAAGCAATAAATATCTCCCCTTCTACTCAAAGCCCATATATCGTTAGGCTCAATCTCCAATGATTTGGTGAGATCAATCAACGCCATGTCATACTGATCGAGCAGAAAATAGACATCACTTTTTACTTTCAATACAAATGCATCGCTTGGTTCAATCTCCAATGATTTATTAAGATAATTCAACGCGGTGCCATACTGCTTAAAAAGGCGATAGACATCCCCCATCGACCCCAATACAAACGCGTTATTCGGCTCAATTCCCAATGATTTCTTGAAATCGTTCAATGCATTGTCAAGCTGATTAATGTTATAATAGGAAATCCCTCTGCTATTCAGTGCCCACGCATTATCCGGCTCAATCTCCAATGATTTGTTGAGACATTCCAGTGCATCATCATACCGATTAAGTAGACGATAAACTTCTCCCTTCCTACTTAGTGTCCATGCATTCCGGGGTTCGATCGCCAAAGACTCGTGGAGGCAGTTTAGTGCATTATCATACTGATCAAAGTTGTAATAAACGATCGCCCTTCTTCCTAATGTGAAGGCGTCTGCTTCCTTCTCTAATGATTCAATGGTTTTATCGCGCTCGCGTTTGACTGGGTTTCCATCACAGCATATCCGTGTATTGCTTGTAATCTATAACGTGAAAATAAATTGAAGTCCATAATTTATAGAAAGAAGTCATATTGTAGCTACTTACAATACAATAGTTTGGTGGATCAGTCTCTAACACCTTGAATTCCATAGAACGTCCTCCATCTTTAATAGAGAACACATCACCTTCTCGAACTGGCCGATACGCATTCTGGAAGTATTGTTTGAGATAGATTTCGAACAGGTCTTCCATTACTCCCTCAACTGTATCGTCAATTGGGAGCAATTGGACGCGCTGACCGTACTTAATATCAGAAAATAGTTGAATTGACACTACGTCACCCAAACGCACACGAAGATTGTTTCTAACAACTAAATGCATACAATCGGCTAACATTAACATAACGGAAAGCACCAATTACAATTGACTTTCATAACCAAATATTTGTATTTATACAAATTATGCGTACCTTGATTAATTCTAACTTTAACATCTTCGCAGCCTTCATCGGCCCATACAATAAGGATCGTTTTGTATCCCTTCCTTCCTTCTACTAGTGCGATTGCACCACAGAATAACCGCAACTTCTTCATAGCTGCCGGAGAAAGTACCATTAAGGAATTATCATCTCTGATGGTATCTTCAACGATAAGCTCTTTTAAAGTTAGTTTCTCGGGTAGTAAGTTTTTTCCTGGATTACATTTAAAGTCTTTAATCACATAACCGAGGTTGGGCAAAATTTTCTTCACAAAAGCTTCTCCCGCAATGATAGATTCAGTAAGACTAGGTTCGTCTATTGTTGGAGGGCTGAGTGATGGACCATATTCAGTTGGTGGTGTCTTTGATCGACCAGACGTTGGATATGGGTGTGGTAAATGAATTGGCGCGTTTTCACTGTCGATTGATGTCAAATGAAGAAAAATCATGCTTGAAATGTTCTATTATATATGGCAAGGTCCAACGAGACATAATATTTTCAGTATAAACAGTAAGTTACGTACGCCGATATTTCTTCTTCTCTCATTTTGTTATTTGATGCTTGTTTCCGGGCGTGTCCTCGGTGAAACCACAATTGCCAAATAGCATGTATTGGAAATGTTGAATAACGATTCTATCGTTTAAATACATTGTTTAACTGTTGATAAGAGGGATAAACGGTTAGGCAAGTTTGGCGACCTGTTTGGCTGATAAGCTGAAGATCATCAATTATCGGAAATTACACGAACATCCGAATAAGGTTCTGTCATAGTAATAATGACGGCATTAAAGTCATAGTCGTTCATTCATGTTAACTATAAGGCGGAACAAGGTGAACACATAGCATCCATCATACACAGCACATCTGAGTGACGAGTTTAGTACTATCAAACATTGTGCACAAAGCTAATGCGGGATTGCACAATATGTCTCTTTGCTTGCTTGATTTGAGCTTCAATTCTTGTTCCAGCTTTACAGCGCTATTACATTTTCCTCATTTTGGACAAGCATAGCGTTGTAGTTTTCATCGTTGTAGTTTTCGTCGTTGTCGTTGTGTCTGCCCTTTTGATTATAATATCGTTTATACTGTATTATAATCAGGTTTCGTTTTTGCCTGGTGAATATTCGTTCGCTGTACATCCCTCTAAATCGCGTGATAAACCACCCCTCAGAACCGTCATCTGAATTATATCCAATATTGAGAGTTGAGGAGTAGGTTCTCTAGCTTTTATTTCTTTGAATTCTGTTAGGCAGTCTACGTTTGGCCTATGTAGAGCCGCAATTTGCCAAAATTAAAATATTAAGATATATTTTCTCCGTCACGCAGTGTTGAAAATGCGTTGTGTTGTTTCTTTGGTCGAGGATGAACAAGCGTCAATTCGGTGATATGGAGCATGGTTAATAATACATATACGTACGTACGTACGTATCATATTTATTTATTTATATCGGATGAACGCGTTTCTCAACTGATGCTAAATTTTATGTTCCCGATATTATTTTATCCATCGATGCAGTAAATTGTTACTTGTGCCTTTTTTGATTCTAAATGCAACAGAGATGTCCGAGCTTGCTCATAGCAATAGTATCAATACTAGTAGTCTTTGGATTTGCTAGGCTTTTCGTCTTCTCGCAGGTTAAACATAATGATATAACAATGCCTGTTCCTATAAAAACAGCATCAATTCTTGGAATACATTCTGGCGCTGCCAAGGAATATCTTGTGTACCATCATGTGACCACATATGTGATGACGTTTACAATTTTCATTTTTTGATGTTTAGCTATATGACATTTATTCTGAGGCGTCTACTGTAGAGTGTCCTGTGCTAGATCTCGAAATGACAGACACCTACGACATCGACATGAACTCTAATGATTTAGACGCCATGGTAGTGGATGAGGGTAAATATGAATATTATCATTATGTTGTATTCTTCCGTTTGCTCTGCTTCGATGTTGACATACTTTTCGACTTAGTCGATTCTAAACCGGCTGTCAAGCGGAAGGGACGTGGTTTTAAGAATGATTCAAGAGGTGAAAGAAGTTATATGCTATGTCTGTGAGCATGCTGTTGTACTCTTGTTATAAAGTTGATGTTCTCAATTAATATCGTTTATTTACTACTTACGCAATTAAGAATCGCGTGATGGTGTTCGTTCGTCTGACAAATACGATCAGTTTGAGTCAACTACCGAAGAAGATGCTGCTGCTGGACGTGCTCAAAGATGTATTGTAAAAACTATTTGAATTATAATCAATGCAGTTATTATGATTCTAGCTGATACCCTTTCTATTCTTTCGCAGCTGTAGAAGGATGGATTGTACTTGTGGTTGGTTTACACGAGGAAACGACCGAAGACGAAGTCACAGATAAATTCGCCGACTTTGGCGAGATTAAAAATTTGCATTTGAATTTGGATCGGAGGACTGGTTTCGTCAAGGTCAGTTTTTATAAGATTAAAAATGTGATGTGAGTTATAATATTACCGCACGCTTATTGTGATCTTGTACGCAGGGCTATGCACTTGTTGAATATGAAACCTATAAAGAAGCAAAAAATGCTATAGATAATGTTAATGGATCAAAATTTCTCGGTCAAACGTTACATTGTGACTTTGCATTTATTCGACCTCCCCTTGGCAGTGGAGAAAAAGATAGAGAACGTAGCAATGTAAGGAATAGATTCAGTAGACGGCGAGGACGATCCGCTAGTCCTACAAGGCGATAATTTGTCTTATCCGTTACTGATTGATAGAAAGTGTTCGATTGCCTTTTTGTACTTTGTTGTTGTTTTTTCCCCTCAATATAATAAAACCTTAATTTTTGAACAACGAACACGCTTTTAATACGCGACTTAAATGATACGGAACTAAACTATAACTTGATAGAAATATATGTGCTTTGCACAATCGATTAAAAAGATTATAGATATTTACACCCAACTCCAGACGAGATGCAAATTCTGGGTGATATGCTGAAGCGTTCTTCACGTATGACATATGGTCATGTTAGATTACGCAACATGTTGGGCATCCTTCATTGTTAATAGAGAAATTAGTAGCAAACCTCCTGCTTTGGTTGGTGTCCATGGATATAATAGAACCTCTAGCGTCTTGTTTTACAAACATTATAATTACATTAATTAATATTTCTTTAATTTATGAAGATTCATTTGGCCCACGTAGAACGCACATTTGAACGCGTGGTAAGAAAGCTTCGACCCACAAACTTATGTATGTGTGACAAACAATACTATTGATTAACATGACATAATAATAATAATAATAATAATAATAATAATAATAATAATAATAACGATCAATACGCTCTTTTCCAAAAGACAAATCTCCAAATATCCGACGTATTGGAGATCTACCTACAAACGTGATTTGTACCAGCAGATCTGCAACGTTAATATTTATTTCGCAGATCTATGAGTAGGTAAAACTTCTTTCCTCCGCGCGCACTTTAGAGACAAGTATGTTACGTAGAAATGTAGAACGTGTACTAACATTACTTGGCGGAACTGCATTGGGTATACTCGGATATAATCAATATCAAAAGAGCAAACCGGCAAGTGTTGCGTTGCCTCCCCCAACAGCGACGCCTGTCACTGTGGGTCCCAAGTTGCAGCAAATAGCTGAAGATATACTTGCATATGGACACCCTGGTATGATATGTTTGAAATATATACTATAACGCTATACAGACAGAGGCATGATGCTTGTGTCCACTCCTGGATAAACAGGACCCGTTAATGACGCAATCTTCAGAAGCGGATATGTAGGCACATACAGTAGGCAATTGAGGAATCCAATATGGGTAAGTTGATTAGACTAGCGTCTAGTCCAATTTCGTGTCCATACCATTTTAACATACCAATTAACCCGCTGTTTCTTCTTGTTTCATCATGGATACGTTTAGATTGCTGAGCACCTTACGGCGGCATCTCTTAAACAAGGAGAAGGAGTAGACCGTAGCAAATCAACATTTCAAGAAGATCCCGCTGTTCCAAATAAATTCAGCGCAAAATTAACCGATTACTTTCGTTCTGGATATGATCGTGGTCATATGGCTCCTGCTGCTGACATTAAGATTACTCAAGACGCTCTTTCCGAAACTTTCTATTTGACAAATATTGCTCCACAAGTTGGACGTGGTTTCAATAGAGATTGTATGTAAGCAATTATTGTTTTGTTCGTATTATTCTCTTAAAATTCACATTACTGAAACACTCTTATAATGAACAAGACTGGGCGCATTTGGAAGAATTCTGTCGTCGTCTTATTAAAAACGAAGGATTTACAGATGTTTATGTATATACTGGACCGCTTTATCTCCCAAAAGATGAGAATGGAAAGAAATATGTGAAGTACGAAGTTATAGGAGCATCGGGTGTTGCAGTTCCAACTAACTTTTTCAAGGTCATACTAGCCAAACGATCAGAAAACACTTTGGCAATAGGTGCATTTGTTCTGCCAAACGAGTCGATACCAGACGACACTCCGTTGGAGCAGTATGTAGTGGCAGTTGAAGATGTCGAGAGAATGTCGGGTTTGACGTTCTTTGACAGGGTCGACAAGAACGCGGTCGTCCCATTATGTTCCGCAACTAAATGTGTGCTCGTGCCCAATCCAAAGTGGGTTCAGAATAGGAATAAGGAAGGAAGAATGATCAAGTAGAAGGCTGACTGATTTCGAATATATATATATAAATGTCGTATTCTAAACTTATGATTTTCCGATAACTCATTGTCCAAATTTAAAACGCCATTCCGGAATTAAACCGCTTTTGTTTAATGTTTATTCTCTCCCTGTCCACTCATTAGGGACTAGCCATATAATGTAACGGGAATCGACGGAAAAATCAACAATGACAACATTCACAATATAAAAAAAAAAACTCCCCATAGGGACTATATCCTCTTTTCGTCCCAAACCCAAACAATGAAGCGAAACTTATCGTTCTATCTGAGTCTGTGCTTTTCGGTCATAGTCATGACACTATTCTTTATAGTACATCCACCACTTCCTTTTCCTATTCCTGATTCCGCAGTAAAAACCTGGAACAAAGCGAACGTTTGTATTGTGACGTATGTCACTGATAAGCCAACAAAGTATTCCGAGTTGGCCATGGCTACCAAGAAGGAATATGCACAGAAGTTTGGATACGAATTTGTTGTCAAGCATGTTGCTGATAAGGTAAGCATTCCACGTAGATATCAAGAGTAGAGAAGCTGCCGCTACATAAGTCTATACGCGCGACCAAATATATAGAAACAGTCGCAACCTTAAGTGTTACACACAGTCTTCTGTCGTTTCCAAGTTCCTCCTGCGCAAAATTATCAAAAAACTCTAACAAACGCGAAGAAATAAAATAGTTATGTATTATGCAACAAACGACGGCAGCGGGTGCAATTGGGAGAAACGTTCGTTTTAACACGAGTCAAATGAGATGTTCCTGAAATCACATTCTCCAAACAATTTGTCCCACAATCCAACCAGTCTTGGAATACAATCCAATTGCTGTTGGAGACGATCGAAGAATATCCTGATATCGAATGGTTCTGGCTTACTGAGCAGGTAAATGTCATAATATGTGTGTGTATCTTGTTATATTTACATATCTTTAGCGTTTTGATTGGGCTTTTTTTTTCTGTACTTTTTTAGAATACAATAATTACAAACAAATCCCTCGATCTTGATATACAATTATTTCAACATCTGCATGGTTATGATGGTAGAGAACTACTGGCTACTTATGACTGCCATGGGTTCAATACGGATTCGCTTGTGGTTCATAATACTAAATGGCCAAAGAGGTTCCTAAGTATGGTAAACAAACTGGTTGAAGACGGATACAAAATTAGTGATGCCATAAGTCTGCTGATAAATCAAAAGGCAGATGACATTGCTCAAAAAGTGTTCTTTCTGCCTACGGTAGGCCTGGTTTGTTATTGCATATTAATATAGCAATTATTATTGATTTGTCAGTGCTTTCGTGATTGACTCTTTAAAATCTTCCTTTTACTTGTCCCAAGCGATCCATAAACTCCAGACCGAAAGAAATATGCAAGAAGAAAGAAAAGTATAAATGGCGTCCTGGTGATTTTGTCATTAATATGTCTGGTTGTAATATTACTCATAGTTGTTCCGATACAGTCAATAGTCTTCGTAGCATGTTTGATATTGTATAGAAAGTGACTTTGTTGAAGATTACGTCTTTAAATTGTATGCTATCGTGTAAACGACAGAAGGGGAATACGCGGATGTCAGTCGTATCGGACTCCGATAACAAGAGTCAAACGATGAGCGTTCACTGTACATGAACATTCATACATTCATTTCGATTATTTCTTGTTACCGAAGGAAATAATTTTTGCTGTCATTGTGTTACCAATTAGAGTTTAGTTTTTTATCTACATGATAACACGCGAGTTCGCTTTTGTCGATCAGGTGTACGTAAGTTGGACACCACTGTCTTGAACTATGGAACACAAATGACTTGCAATCTTCCTGGCATATGTAATGCTTGATTCCCCGGAGATATTGGTATAGAAGAGTCCTCAAATCTCTCGATCAGAACTTGTTATAATAATAATCACGTGTGGTTAACTCTAATTTGATAGGACCGTCTTATAATGTCAAATAAATTGCGAAAGGTAGATATTAATATGCTTGCTGGCTGGAGAGGTATTTCACTGGCCTACGATTACTTGGCATGTCGAACATACAGTAACGTGGGCTTCACATATTAGTTAGTACGCGTTGTCAATCTGCCAGAAGGAGAGTTATTCAGTGACATGTGCCTTCAAGAAAAGCTAACGGTACTCAACTACTAAGAATAATTATGCTAGTCTGAATGTATGCTAATAAGTTATCTATTATAATAGAGCCGTGTTCTGATCGAAACATTTGATCCGATTTTAGATTGTCATCAACCGAATGAAGTATGTAAGAACAATACAAGCTATTTTCAATACACCGTTATATTTTAATTTAACTTCAACCCGTAGGCAAGAGTATCCGATAATCAATCTCTCGATGAATCGCTTGACTCGGATTCAACAATCAACTCGTCCAAACGATCAGCCGATTCTTCAAGTCAGACAGCAACTGATACGCTTAGCGTGGACACAAACGACACAAGGAAACGTTTAAAATGTCATGTTGTCGTGGAAGTGCCACCACTGAGAAAGGCTCGGAGTGCCTATGGCGACCCGGCCGCTAAATCCGCCAAGCATACGGAAACAACAGCGCTTAAGATATTGTATAGACAGAGTGAGCATGTCGACAGACACCAGAAGTCAAGTAAAGATAATATGAAAACTAAGCATAAATCATCTGCAATCAATAATGAGAGCCTTAATGGAGATGGAGGGGAGGAAGAAGAAGAAGAAGAAGAAGAAGAAGAAGAAGAAGACTTGCCAACTTACGAAGAATTTAGTGTGAATAATTTTATTATATATGACCATGAATATGAGAAGGCTAATTTGTATGAATTACAAGAATTAGCCCAAGTAAAAGAGAGATTCTGGGATGGAACAGTATCCAATTGTGGCTCAAGTTTAGATTGCCAAAAGGTATGACATCGAACATTTGGAATGCGTATCATCTGATGGTCAATTATAATAATAACCACTCTTCACACTTAAATATCATTAGGTACTAATCCGCGAGTACTCAATCGGTGGCTATGGCACATCTACACATGACGTTACGGTCTGGTTTAAATCAACACATAGTAAACATACATGGTACAGAGCCCAGCAGCCCAGTCCAGAATATTCTAGGTTATGGCATACATTCTTATGGAAAGCACGTTTAGCAAAATATGTCCTCGATTGGGCAAGTTCGAATACCGAGGTGACATTTACCGATCTCAAGGATAACTTTTATACATGGATCAGTAAACTGCGCGATGGAGACTGTGTCTTTCAACAATGGATTGGCGAGATGAATGGGAAACGTGATTTCCGTGCTGTTGTTGTCAATTGCAGCAGATTCATATGGACACAAGCATGGACGCTGGGAGATGATTATGTGAAGCTTAAATTCTTCCAGGGTAAGAAGTGAGATATAACACTAATGTCGCTAGGTGATAGACAGGAGCATTATATTTTGTCATACATATACTGTTTAATAACATATTTTGTATTATTGTTTTATTAATTGACGCTGACCTACGATAAAGACAGCAGCTTCGTTGAAGAGTATAACCACGGTGATAATGTAAGTCCCATCCCCGCCTTCTATAGTTTACGCTTTAGATGATATTTCTCATCTCTAATTACATAACCTATTTCTTTTAATCCCACGCAGAATAAATCCACAGAATGTACTATTGTCACTCCAAGAGTATACAGATGGTTTGCGAACGTATTTCCGGATTGCTTAGAAATGATTGGTACGTCAATATATATGAAAAACCATATCCCTAGACATCAATTAACATAACCATTCCCATCGAAACAGAGGATCCCGTAAACTCTCCATGCGCTTCTGATGATGATATTACAGTACAAATAGAACAGACAGAAGATTATAGGTTAATAAACCATAATAATGGACATCCAATATTTATTGATCCAAATCTAGATGGGCATACCTATAGGGGAGTCATAGTTGACGGGATAACAATATCTGTTGGAGAGGCTGTAGAGTTGAACGTAGATGAACGTGGTAAATGGGGTAGAGATGAAAGTCGATGGATATGGTAAGAGTCGAAATGGTTATATTTATCTTTTTCAAGCCTTCGAGTAATCACAGTATTAAAACGGAAATATTTTGATTATATCTTTTGAGTCTGATTACTGAATTGAAGCGCACATCAATTGATGACGGTGCTTTCAATCTTGTATGGCTATATACACGAAGACAGACATTTCTTCATCAAGTGGACATAGACTGCCACCCCCAAGCAGAGAAAGAATTATTTCTTGCGTATCATTGTGAATGTCATACGCCTCAGTCGATATCTACGATCAAAAGGAAAGTAAGCGTTCTCTTTGGAGCAGATAGCTCTCCAGGTATATAAATGCATACATAATTGTTTGCTGTTCATTGTTGAAATGTAAATTTTACAATTGTTCACTTTATCTTCTCCAGATCTCGAAACAAGCTTCTTCTGTCGAATGATGTATGATATAAACGATGGGGCTTTTCTCACATTTAAGCCAGAGATGCTTCGATCTGTTTATGGTAGTCGTCTCTGTGGCTGTTTGTCACCATTAAAATGTGTATTCGACGAATTCATATCCAAATATCAAGTTGGTGACTGTATAACTCTCAAACTTGATGTCTGCCAAGATGATATTTGTACAGTCTGTTACATTGAAGAAATCAATACCGAAGAAGAAGTGGCTATTTTAAGGAGATTCTTCAGGCCGTGGGAAATTTATGAGCGAAAATCCGGAGATATCATTAATGAACTGTTATGGTCGAATTATTCATTCGAGTTTACTGCCTTTGAACAGGTAATCCGAAAGTGTCACATAGAGTTCATACTACGAAGCAGTATGATTACAATAGATGAACTTCCAATTAACTTGAGGCATCGTGGAGCTGGAGAGCATGTAAGAATATCTATTAATGAATGTGTCTTATTGACTATATAGAGTTCATTGATAATCGTTTATATAGTTTTTCTTTTGTAGGGAATATGACGTGGACACAAATGAGATTAGTTTTATCAAAATATTCGAGTCCCAAGAGCATTTTCCACCTTATTATGAAAAGATTGAAACTTTTAAGAAATTAAAAGGGCTTGATCTATTTTGTGGTGGTGGATCATTAGGTCGGGGAGTCGAAGACTCTGGTTTTGTCTCTTGTAAATGGCAAGTATATTATATTGTTATTAAAATTTATATTTTAATCCCGTCCAAGCTGAGATCCTGAATTATTACCGTCCCACGCAGGGCCATAGATAATGCTGAGGCAGCATGTAAAACTTACAAACAGAACGTCCAACACGAAGACATAACCATAATGAACGCTAGTGTAAACGTTGTATTGGTCGATGCAATTCTTGGTGAAGGTTGCACGTCAGCACCAAAGAAGGTCAGGATTTTACACATCTTGTCTGGCCAACTGGTCTTTGATGATTAACATGGGTTTGATTGTTCTATTACTATAGGGCGAAGTGGATATAATATTAGCAGGCTCTCCATGCCAAGGATTCTCGCGTTTGAACTTGTATCCAAACAGTCCTCGTGCTCAAGCAAACAATTCCCTAATAGCTTCTTTTGCTTCGTTTGTTGATTATTATAAGCCGAGATTTTTGTTGTTAGAAAACGTTCCTACATTGATTGGCTATGGAGGTATATTGGTTATCTTAGTTACGTTTAGCATTATTGAGTTTGACAGGAAATTCACTCCTCATCAAATACAAAAAGGCCAGGCAATATTTCCACGGTTAATTGCTTGTCTATTAGAAATGAAGTATCAAATCCGTTTTGGTCTTGTTTGTGCAGCCCATGTGGGTGGTGCACAAGAGAGAATCCGTGTATTTATGTGGGGTGCTGGTAATTATTATGTTGACGTGGTAGTCCTCTGCATACTGCTATCTTTTATAAGTACTCTAATACAATGCCCATATCCACCTAGCTCCAGGAGAGCAGCTACCACAGTTGCCACATCCATCACACAGGTTCCAAGGGAGACGTTTTCGTAAATATACGCTGAATCTCCCAAATGGTGATCGGTGAGTCTCATATTGCAACCTACAAATCTGTCTTTGAAATTAAACTCACATAAATGCATATATATGTAGGTTAACTGGTCTTCCTGAAGACGAATATGCAAGCTTGCCTATGTTAACTGTAAAAGATTTTATAGGCGATTTACCATCTTTAGACACAGGGATATTTTGGTATCCTAGGTATCCTGATCACAGAGTAGAATACATGAAAAGTAAATACACAGAACTTCTAAAATTAATACCAGTGGATACTTCTAAAGCCAACTATTTCAAAGCAAGAGAACTTGGTTTAGTACCCCCACACTTGCAAGTGAAACTATTTGAGGAAAAATATAATCGACCAGAGATTCGAACAGGAAAAGCACCATGTCAGCGAGTAGCAGCTGATTATGTGTTTCCAACTATTATAACCATGATGAGTGTGTACTGTGTTTAACATAAGATGCATTGATACTGTTTGTATGGCTGCAAGCTAACTTGAAACTCGGTTTGATTCCAAAGGAATTGATAGTCTCGCAGCTGAGGTTGTACACTACTTGGAACCACGAACACTGAGTGTTCGTGAAGCAGCCAGAGCACAGGGTAAAAAGAATCCTAACACATACTTTCTTTTTTTCTTTTTAAGGAAAAAAATTTTTTAACTAATTGTCCAACGAAATATATATAGGATTTTTGGATTCAGATATTGTGTGTGGTTCAATTATTGATCAGCTCAAAATAATTGGGAATTCAGTACCAAGGAATGTTGCATTTGCCCTTGGGATACAATTAGGGGAAGCTTTGTTAAAGAAAACAAATACTGAAGAGGCAAACACTGAAGAGGCAAACACTGAAGAGACAAACACTGAAGAGGCAAACACTGAAGGGGCAAACACTGAAGGGGCAAACACTGAAGAGACAAACACTGAAGAGACAAACACTGAAGAGACAAACACTGAAGAGACAAACACTGAAGAGACAAACACTGAAGAGGCAAACACTGAAGAGACAAACACTGAAGAGGCAAACACTGAAGAAATATATCCTGAAGAAATAGAAAACTTGATAGTAATAGATTAATTTACAGGAATGAACAGGGCCATTATTATGATTATGTTATATGACTTATTCATGAGGGTAATTTTATGATAATTGTCATAGCATAACGAAGGATAATATTGGCATACTTGATTTCAGAATTGAAGTTTATTTGTTTCCTTTTCATTTCCCTTTTTCTTTCAAACAGAGTAACATGTAATAAAAGATCGGTTTTGTGAAGTACATGGATGATTAATAACTACCAGTTACAGTTACACTTACTCTTTCATATTTGGAAAACCCAATTCTAAATTCATAGTTTTCAATAATTAGTAAAAGCTCATATTTGCTTCACATATTTTAGATTGTTCTGCGACAACCAGACAAAGTGAACATAAGGTGAATCTGAAAGTTTTAATTATGAAAGTGAAAAGTTAAAAACAAGTGGATGCTACAATAATGAAAATTATCAACACATTATAATTATTGAAATTTCAAACGATAAATCTGATCAATGAGTTAATGAACATTTCTATAATTATGATTTACTGCTCTTTTTTGCTAAAATTTTTCTAAACAGTCTATACTAGAGAAGTTTGCCATTGAGGCCTAAATGCATTGTGGTTGGGGATTGGAACATCCTAACTATTTATCCACACCCTTTCGATCTCAAACTCCTATTGAAATTCAAGTTGGCATTGTGATTCAACGATTGGCAAATCCTAAACGTAGACGTACAAAAGGATTTTATTAAAATGTGCATTCTCTTCAGAAAAAACATTGAAGATTCAAAATCTTCCTCCGCAGTCAAGCGATCGACATTAATTTTAGAATAGTGATATCCGATGGAATTAATAAATTGAATAAGGGTGTAATAATGCGGGAGAGTAAAAATAATGCTTTGTCCGTATTTGGACATCTGCGGTTACTCGAAAATATTGAATTAAATTTCATCTACCGAAAAGCTTACCGAAGAACAACGGCAGACTGCGTAGATCATATCGTTGAGACGGGGTTAAACAAAGCTGACAAGCCAGTGCAACGTAATTGGATTATTTTATATTAAGTAGAATAACAAAATTACTCTTATTTTTAAATTATTAATTATTTAATAACTGCGGTGGGGTGATTTCCTTTAATCGACGTGCTAACGTTGTGCGGACTTCACGTTTCCCGGTGAAGTGCATTCACTTCAAAAAGATGTTACACTCGATTAGTAAGAATTAGACGTAATATTTCCCAAATGACTTGTTATTAGTTATACGATGCAAATTAAAATTAAAATTATATTATGTGGGTATTTATGTTATCAGTTGGGGACTTGTCTCAGTTCTAGGCTGAGACAACTGAGTTCTGGACTGAGACAAGTCCCAAACTCAGAACAACACTTCTGTCAATTTACTCCTCATGCGTCGACGTTTTCTTCATATACAGATTTTTATTCATTTCTAAAATTAGTCACATTATTTACCTATTACCAATCTATTTTCGCCCCTACCGAAAAGCAGAAACCCTCTCTTCCTCTCGGAACCTCTTCTTGACCAAATCGACTACGCTCTTATCATACACCTCCTCAGGTGACGCACTAATCTTTTCATGTGCGGCTGCTTCCTTTTTAGTCATCACGACGCAATTTTGAGGAGACAACGGTTGATTACGATCCCATCTTATGAGGGTTAGTTTGTCTATAGCAGAAGAGATAGCACTGCGGCCACGCCATATTTCTTCAAATATATAGCTTACATCGCGTTGGTATAGTGGTATTGTGCTTTAAAAGTATAGAATTGGTAATACTGGATTAATAATTAATATTTATATAATTTGAGTATGCTATTACTCTTGTTGTTAATACTTACTCGTTCCCGAACAACTTCTTTTCCCTAACTATCAATTCACGATGTAACCGCGCATAAAGTGCGTCACGATGTTTATGGAGCAGCGGTTCAATTTCATATCCTGAAATACTTGTTATAATATGCGTTGCAATGGTCATGCCGAATATTGCAGGAATTGTTCCTAAAATAAATCGATAGAATAGTCTTAGTAACGTCACTTGTATAAAAAGACCCACGTTAAGGTTCGTCACTTACCTAATACAGGAAGTATCCTTGATCTGAAATCAGGTAATGTAGCATATTCATCTGCTGTCTCAATGCGTGTCTCGTCTGTCAAAGGCAAACGATTATGTAAGCATCGTGATACAGTAGCTAATCACATATCATATCACGTGTTACACACCGAGTGGGAGCAACTTGATGTTTGGTTTCTCAGTGGAGTAAACAACATTGATCCCCGATCCTATGCCAAGTTTATGAAGTCTTCGGCGAACAGCCCTCGCAAGGGGATCCTCTGTGAGAGTACGTTGATAGACATGTAGATTGATGAGGACCAAGCGCGATATACACATCTGTCCAACGTCAACTCTTTACATACCTTTTGTCTCACTGATATCACTTATTTGAATGCGCGACGGATCTGCTTTTGCTCCTGCACCCATAGAACTCACGATCTAATAATGAATGAGTAACGATAATTTAATACAGTGTTTTACTCATTAAGTATCATTGTATTTTCTCCCAGTTATTTATGTTACCCACCGGAAGCTTTTTATCGTAGCAATATTTTAACAGATGCAGCTTAGTGTCAATGTTGTCAATAGCGTCCACGATAAAATCCGGATTTCCTAATTAAAAAACACCTGACGAGTTGTACATCAATAAAGACGACAACGGCAATATGATTGTAATCATGGCTAAACCAATCAGCTTCTCTGCACGCGTCTCTTCTTTCGCACGCGTCTTTACAAGTCACAATGCAGACCCTAACAAATGCTCACCGCTTAACAATCGTTCAGCATTTGTTTCATCGAAACAATCAACCATGGCCTCAACGTTAGCCCACGGTACAATAGCTTTTGCATGCTTTTGCAGACAAACAACTTTTGGAGTCCCAACATCAGCATGCGTAGCAACCGAATGTCTATTTAAACTGCTCAAAGTCACTTGATCGAAATCAATCAGCCTGATCTTCTCCAAACCCGACCTCAACAACATTATCGCTGCCCATGATCCAACACCTCCGGCGCCAACTATGATCACGAATGATTTACGTAGCTTATCGATACCTTCCTCTCCTATGAAGACAATGTTGCGCGCGAGTTGTTCTTTGATTAAGGATTCATCATATCTTACAGGGAGGATGGGATGTCCGGTAATTGAGTGGGTGGATGCGACGGCAGGTGGGAGAGAGGAAAGCTCTTCCTTTAATGCGCGTGTACGAGAACTACGTTGTGACCTTTGGTAAACATAAATTGATCCAGCAGTCAGCAGAGAGGCCGCAAGAGCTGTGACGGTTAGGTGGGATGAAGGGTGGTGGATAATGGTAGAGAGAATCGATTGAGACGATGATGACATGGATATTTTATAATTATAATCTGCCGCTCTTTTTTTCTATTATTTAAAATCGGAAAAAGTTTTGATGGGACCTAATTACGTCATCATTTGCTAATTGGGAGATCATCATAGAATTTTCCCAAAAATATTAACGTTTGAAATATCCAGTGTCCAACTATAACTATTACTATTGGTAAATAAATCCCTTTGTCCTAATATGGAGCAGACTGTGTACAAGTCACATGGTGGCTTAGAGAGATGGTCGTTTTTGTATTTACTAGTAAAACATGGAATGTCTTTCTTTTCAAAAATCTCTCCTGCCCATGTATTATGCGAAGGATAATAATTTTTGTATGGTTCGGAAGCTAATTGATTGTGCGTTTCGAAAAATAATAACAAAAAAATTGTATATACTATCGTTATAAAGCGGTAGCAAGTTGAAGTAGCTGTCTTTAAATCACGATATGAAAATCTATAATTATGTATACGTACACGTATACTCACACTTCATCAAGCCACCGATTTATAATGATAATATATACAATTTTTTGTTATTATTTTTCGAAACGCACAATCAATCAGCTTCCAAACCATACAAAAAAAATATTATCCTTCGTATAATACACATGGGCAGGAGAGATTTTTGAAAAGAAAGACATTCCATGTTTTACTAGTAATATTTCGTGGTGATCACTCATTTCTGGCAGGATTGCCTTATTATTATTGGTCTGTCAAAACTAGATATTAAATACAGTGTGGGACAAAAAAACCCGAATTACAAAATTACACATTACAGAACCAATAGTGCAAATAAGATGGATTTTATGTCATTTGAAAGCTGAAAACCAGCAGATTTTATTGGAAAAATTAGTATGGAGTGCGTTCACCTGTTACTTTCTATGATTATCGTACTAACCCAATTAGGGTTGATTCCCATATTTTTAACAATACTCCAGAGTAATCGACCTAAAATTGGGAGATATGCACGATTGAAAAATTCTGTCCCACACTACATGCATTGGAGAAGAAAAAGAATGCACAGCATTACTGGCTTTGTTTCTTCCTTTGTAATGATACAGCATTATAGGATAGGTATGCTAGTACTGGCTTTCTATCGTCATGCCAATTAAACGTACGAAATTAAAATAGAACAATGTGTTCAAGTATGACAAGCAAATGTAAAAAGAATGTTGTTGTTGTCTAATATGGTAAGGTTACGTCACCCAAAATTCTATTAATTGCAACCTCCTTACAGTCACATATCACGTCGAACACGTACCCTAACAAGACTGCCCATTGATTACGGCACGATCAAGACTTACATTAATCGTGTTACGAAGATGGTGATAAATGTTGTTATTATCAGAAGCCTGTTGTGTTTAGATTGATTCGCAAGCTTAACTTCAAGACGATCGATGCCTGATGTTCATATTTTTCCTTTTGTTCATTAAATATAAGACCGGGAAAATAACCCGCTCCTAATTTTGGGGTCGGTGATCTAACGATCAGGTTCCATAATATTTTTAAAGTTTTCAATACGGCCTAATAATGTTGGGCCTAGATGTGAAGCTGTTTTATCATCTTAGTCTCTCAATAGTATAGAGAATTTCAATTGAGTCTCCAATTGGTTGGGTCATAGCAATGATAGTAATAGTAGGACACCATTTACAATCGCACTCTTCCAACGACATGTTTCCCGTTACTGTGTGTAATTAATATGATAAAAATATGCATATTAAATCTATATATACCTTTGCTCGCAGTAACATGCAATGTATTTAGCGCTATGGCCTCTCTCTCACAACATTACAAAGGCATTGGCAAAGGAACTATAGATGTACTGTATTTGGAATTTTGTCGGCCCGTGGCTGTAAGGAAGGGGGTAAAGATCTGCATAAGGTTTTAGTAAGAAACAAGAAAATGGTAAGGGTCGAGTTCAACGTAAATAGGATAATCTGTGTGTCGAATATTCAATTTAAATGATGATTAAACAATTTTTTGAAACGTTATTGTACGACACCGTGTTCTGAGACTGATATTAAGCAAGATAAAAGGAAGTGGTCAACGAACATTGATGTAGTTACAAACGTTGTATTATTAATCTATCCGACAGCAATTCGATATAGCTCAGTGACAAAAATGCCAGGGCTTTTCCAACCGATTTTATCTTTTGGAACTCGAGAACTCGGTGTTTTTCGCACCGCGTCAAATTTGAAAGAAGCAATTCCACCGCTTCGACGTCGTATTTTCTAATTACACCAGATACTAATAATAAACAAAGCTAATCAAAACCGGCTGGGTCTTTATATAATATGGCGTCCTTTTCAATCGACTAGCTAGTCAAAACCGGACGTACTAAACCTTCCCGTTCGGATCAACACGCAAAGAGGCCGAACCAGTGAGAGACTTTTAAAGATCATTTAACGAAGCCCTCCCTGCAAGTTTGTGTGACATTATATGTCGGCAGTTATCGAAAATGCAGGTCGTTTCGTTAGTGATGATGTCTTATATATAACGTGGCAAAGGGACACTGATATAGGAATCCTTACATATTCGACTTGAACCATATTATTTATTAACTATTACTATTAATTATAATACAGACTTGAGACATGTAGGTTTATCTTTCCAAATATGCATAACGAATGTAACGGTGACATAAACAAATTGGGCATCACTTACGTTTGAAATGTTTCAGAACGCTGAAACAAATACAGACTAATTAATGTAAATGTGTTCGACTGTCCAATGATTAATTATATGGCTTGCTGTTGTGACTGCGCACGAATGAAACAGTAAAACATTGCTATATCCGCTTGGTTTATAATAAACCAATTTCACAACCCAACCGAATAATGCACAATAATAACTGACTATGACTCGTTGTGGTTAATTAACATCAAAGCTAGTAGTCATTCATTCCGGCTTTTCGTTTCGTAAAGGTTGCATATTACCTCTTTAATACTGAAGTGCCACAAACCTCATTTTATTGCACAATTTCAATGAAGCTTTTTACCCCACTACATATATATCTTGACCACTTATTTTTTATCCTTCCTTAAGCTAAAAGCAACCCACACTCTTTACCTTCCCATAGTCATTTCTCTTCCTCGCAACCTTTCGAGGGTTTACAAATACCATTTACTGGTGTTGAATAAACTCCATATTCTGCTTGGTGCTATAACTCGCTGCTAATCTATTTGCTGGTCGAATGATGGACATGCCAATTGCCGCCACTGCACAACCTATTGGAGGAGATAGTGTAAGCTATACAAGTCTATACACCTATTCTAAATATACATAGAGTGCAATACGTCATATGAGATGTAGGTTATACTTTCACGAGAAGGAATATACACTCACTTCATTTCGCAATCTCCTCTAGAATTATTACTATCCTCCTCAGCCATCAATGCCACCCGTGGAAACCCAACAAACTCCTGCTAAACCACCAGAGAAGTCTCGCAATCTGGTTGCAGATCTAATAGATACAGAAAAAGAATATGTTGAAAACCTAAAAGTCCTTTTGCAGGTTAGACGATGCATTAGCAAGTGTGATTTTTATGTCTTGAAATACAAGTCCGATATTTACGCTGACATTAATGAATAGAAAGTCACTGCCTGCTGGAGCCCCGACAATCTTCCTCCACAACAATTAGATACGATATTTAGATGTATGGAAGCAATTTACAAACTGAATAAAAGATTTAGCATTGTGAGTATTGAATGACGATTCGCTTGATGTACTTCTATTAATACGCGTTCATGTCGCATAATTAATAACGCACGACTAATCAATCTAATGTTTCTATTCTCAAACCTGCAGAAACTTTCAAAAATAGGAACAAATCCTCAGGCAGCCCAAAACTTGGCCGATTTACTAATGTCTTGGGTAAATTATGCAAAAATCATGCAAAAATCATGCAGCCGTTTAATTTCCCCCAAGCGTGTTTCACTTACCACGTTATCTTTTAACAGATAGACGAAATGGAAGGACCATATACGAGGTTTTGTCAATCGTTCATGCGTGGATTCGACTCGTGGCCCGCAATAATAGAACATACTTCCCTTCAAGAAACTTTGGCTGTAAGGAAGAATCCAGTCTATAATGAATTGAATTTACGATTAGGTTTTTGTTTGACATTATTGTCTCTACATTACTTTTCCTTAGGCAATATCCTCAGCGCGCAATGAACAAGTATCTCTTGAATATTATTTCGAAATGCCATTTGCTAGGTTACATTACTACAAGAAACTGTACATGGTAATGGTCTCACTATACATTCTCTTTATAATATGCATTTTACTCTCATCTCGCTAACCATACCCCCCCCCCCCCTTTCAACAGAAACTCTTCAAAACAACAGATCCAGCCAGTGACGTCTGTCAGCTTCTCCAAATAGCCAACGATCGTCTAGACGCTTTAATCTCTCTTGAATACCAGGCCAAAGCACCTGAGATACCGAATTTCGACGAAACATTGAACAATAATAACCCAACTTACGCATCGGAACTGTCGGATCACACGCAAATGTTAGAACACGTAAATAATTATCCTAGGACAACATGGAATTTTGGATTAACAGAGCTAGAACAACAGCTGGATGTTACAAAAGTTAGAGATTTGTTTAATAAAGAACCCAAGGTAAGGTCACGGAGAATAGTTACGCGCAAACGATTAAGAGTACTTTGGAGGATTGGATAAATAGGAACTGTTGCGATTTTGTGTCCTAATACTCTTTACAATTTCTCCTCATATTAGAAAGTAAAAGTTGCACTGCAACCTTCTTCTCTTCCATTCCAACGCGAAATAGTAATGCATGACGACTTTATAACCATCGTTCGCTACGCCGATGGAGACATAATGCACCGGGCGCATCTGTTCTTGTTGACCGATCTGTTACTCATTTGTCGAATTTACAACGCAGAGGATAGAATACAGAATCCGAATATGGAGTTTTGGTTGTTGTATCCACCACTTTCGGGGAGGCATTTAGTCGTTAGAGATATGAAAGATAGTACAGATGGTAAGAAAACAAAGGGCGAGAAAGTACATGACAAAGGGCGAAAAAAGATCACTTTACTGATTGACTAAATATTTGTGAATGTAGATATCATCGAGGTAACGGTAATGAAAAAGGAAAAATTATATTTCCGCGCTGAATCAAAAGAAGTTAAAGACGAATGGCTAAAAGAATTTGAGAGAGTAATCACATTTTCAGCTACAGGTAATTTGTTTATTTGTTTTTTTTTTTTTCGTCATTAACTGCATCTGCTTGTCATGTTCTCGTTCATAATATTCTGGAAATATTGCTTAAATTTTAGCCGATGTCAAGCCACAAGTGAAAACCAATGCTCCTTCCCTCCGCAAATTCCAAAGTACTCCTCAACTACGGACGCCTATCTCACCGAGCGATGTTGTAAATAGCGGATCACCAGTGAGTCCGGTGATGGGACTACCCAGGAGTCCAGTGAACGGATCACCAGTAAGCCCAGCGATGGGGATGGGATTACCTAGGAGTCCAGTGAATGGATCATCGAGTCCAGTGATGGGTCTACCCAGGAGTCCGGTGAATGAATCACCAGTAAGCCCAGTGATGGGTCTGCCCAGGAGTCCAGTGAATGGATCACCAGTAAGTCCAGTGATGGGTCTACCCAGGAGTCCAGTGAATGGATCACCAGTAAGTCCAGTGATGGGTCTACCCAGGAGTCCAGTGAATGGGTCAGCGGGTCCAGAGAGGGAATTGCCGACGAGCCCGATGAACAGATTGTCAGCGAGCTTGAATAAGGGATTACCGTCGAGACCATCGCCAGGTTTACCAAATCTAAAAAGGAGTTTAACAAACGGTGCACCTCGTTCACGCACACCCGAACCTCCACGCAGCGCTGGCGAACACTATCCTGGTGGTCTGAATCCCTATCCTTCGGAACAGGGCCGTTACAGCGATTCCGATTTGAGCAGAAACACCGGCTTCGCTGCCGATGTCGCTTCTTCCGCCTACAACCCTCTAAAACGCTCAAATTCGCTCACTTCGTTAGCATCTGTTTCCACAATTGCAACTGTTAAAGAGACTTTATACCAAACACCACCCTGTGAAGTTTTCATCTGGAAGAACGGCGAATGGACACCGTTAACAAGGAAAGAGCGATGTTTGGTTGAGGTGCGATTATCGACACAGAACAAAGGATGCTGGGCAATTATTCTTGAACGTAGTGGTCGCATGGTACTCAATGCTTGGGTTCACCCGACGACTTCGATTCATCGTGAGTCGCCAACAGATGTAAGCATTGCGTGTGAACTAGTTTCAAGACAAGAATACTATCGTGTCAACTGTCTATCCCAAGCGGAAGCCGACAAATTCCAACAGAGTCTACAGAAAATCAAGTACCTTAAACCAGAATTACCGACGCCACTTCCTTCTGTCATGGCGCCGCAGATTTTTGTCTCGAGATCATCATCGTTGGCAGGTGCAAATGGGCAAACCAAAGACGCTGAAGCTGTTGTCACACAAGTCATGGAAGCAAGATGTCGGCTGTTTCTACAGAATGACCACGGTGTTTGGACCAGTCTGGGATGGGGAAACATGAAGTTACTGCTTGAGATTTCGTCACACAGAAAGAGGATTATTATTAATTCGGATAAGAATAAATCTAAATTAATTGATTCCATTGTGTGGGAAGATGGTGTAGAGAAGGTAGGAAAGGCTGGCGTGGCAATTACGCTGAAGAGAATAGAATCCAATGTCAGGATTATTTATATGATGCAGATGAAGGACGAGAAAACAGCTGTGAAGACGATCGAAGTGATAAAGGAAAAGAAACTGAAAAGTTGAGCAATTTTTGAATTTGTGTTGGTACCTGATTCGACATGTGGAATATCGCATAGGTCCATACGTTCTCTCTTTTTCTGTATTTGAATTGTACATAAGAATAACTTTGGACTTGTAAATTTACAAGAACAATTTTTATCATCAAAGACATTTTGCCATAGATCGAAAATTAATTTATTGCCTAAATTAATATTAGGCTTGGAAATTGTAATAATTTTCCTTGAATAGAACATTATTAATAGTTAAATCATCGCGTAATCTTTTTTTTTTTTCATCTTGAATTGGTGATTAATATCGGCGGAACCAATAAAGGAGATTGTTTCGTATCACATTATCAATAAAACAAGATCATGGGACAGGAATGAGTAAATGCCTTGCATAGTGTATCACAAATCCTCTGATCTACCTGTAAAATTTTAGCTCGTTCGGATGTTTCCAGAAAATTTTCCGCATGGCATATTGCTTTATTGTCAGAAATCCTTGTTATACTTGTAATAAACGCGCATGATATTCAATTAGCATCGTTATCATTATGCCGCACGATATGTAGTACAGTGTGTTACAAAAGTCTTTGGTTTAGCTATAGCTTCGACAATCAGATGATTAAATACTCGTTTGAAAGCAAAAACTAGACAATTTTAATTTATAACATTTAGCGGAGCGGGATATTTATATCATAATTCTGCAATATTTCTTGGTTGTTGTTCCCCACTCTTCCCTTGACAATGGCCCATAAGTTTTCAATAGGGTTTAGATCAAGACTGTTAGAGGGCAGTCCTCATAGTCGAAACATATTATTAAAGGAATTCTTTGACTATGTTGCTTGTATGTCTAGAATAATGATTTTGTTGGAGCTGCTACTTCTTACCAAGCACCTTGTTAGCTTCAGAAATGTGTTTTCAATTGATACAGAATCGGAAGAGACTGTGAGATAAATGTATTCTGATGGGCTGAGATATGAATTTATGGCCGAAATCGCGCATGTTTATTTTTTCCACTCTATTTTATCGATATATATTCTTTTCGTTGCTTGGTAAATTTGCTGGAGACATCAATAAGTACAGGTGATCGGGATTTGGGTTACACTATCACATTTACCCGATTACTTTTGTTCAACCCCCATCCACATCGTTTGATAGAGCTCTTAATAAGATTTGACAAGTCGACTCAATTCAAAAGTTTTACTTACACTTCAACAAACCAATTTCCAGTTTTGATTCCTTATTTTCACCGGGGACTGCACAATCTGAAACGCATGGTTTTTCATTTATCTATGCAAAATAATTAATTAACTGCTAACGCGGTACCAAATCCATTTTAATGAAATGACACAATTATTCAAATTATTATTAATAGTTTAATGCATACCTTGTTTGTCAAATTATTGCTTTGAATCTCAGTTTTTTCATACTCGTATAAGACTCGTTGTACTGTACAGAATGAAGATTGGTCAAGGCAGAATAAAATTATTTTTGACGTGCAGTATGTTTCTTTGTCACAGCAGGAAATCATTTATAACCTTTAAACCGAAGTAACTCTTGCTCCTTTCTCTGCAATTTTATCTCGCTTGTGATAAACCCGCTCAGAAGCAAGCAACTAATCGTGTACTTGTAATTGTTTTCATTAAATGTTATTTCACACATGCTTCATGTTCTCCGCTTAGTTGATTTTCAGTTCAAATAGCCCAAGTTCATAATTATTAAGGAACTAGCACCTACATTAAAACCTATCCTTACTAATAAAACTCCACATTAATATTAAGCAAAGTCTAAATTAGGAATAACAAGTCCTGTCAGGAATAGGCTCCCGCGTCGGCCTAAGCTAACTCCTTTTTTGTAAGATATCGAAGAAGAATATTGCGAGCACCACTAATATCTCTATCAAGGTTTGTTTTACATTGGGGACAGCAAAACACCTTTTGGATCCACCTAGCTTTTTATGAATATAACCACAGGATCTACTTCTGTACAAATTACTACTCGACACCAGGGATGCTCACGTGCCTTATGGGTTGAAAGTGATAATGTGACCATATACACATGGCTCGAGCAGTCTTGGAACCAATGCGTCGTGGACCATTCCTTGAGTGCGAAATTCAGGTAGTAATATTATACGATAGTTTTCACAAAGCCTCCTTGTGTAGATTTGTTTTTTAAAGAACAAGTTTTGATCTCCCGCCTCAAGCTTTGTAAATCTCTGGGCAGTAATTGCTAGGGAACGAACATGCTAATTTATTATATCAACACAGACTCATACCCTCTTGAATAAAAATATCTTTTATTAATAAGAATGTTCCCGCTTAATTATGTGATTAAACGCACGCACGTGCAGGATAATGTAAATATAATTCGCTCAACCTTAATAACTGCATGCAGTACTGCAGTACGAGCAAAAGAGTCGGTTTACATTCCCCGATTGGCAACAAGCACTGATGAAACCAAACGTAAGACTATAGTTTATTATGCTCATTATAATCCAGATGGAAACGAAGTATCTTTCAGATATCCAAGGTTCGCGTATTATAAGTTTAGAGTACAGTTGTAGCATAATTGGATAAGTATACGCTTCCTTTCGGACACAGACTTTCCATAAACCGTTTTGTTTCTCCACCTCCAAAGGATTTGGCTTTGCGCGGTATTATAAATACTGAAGTTAAAGTTGCAATCAAAGTTGGAAATTTATATTATTGTAAAATACGTACATTCTAATTATTTGCCCCGAGCGAAAATGAGGTACAAACATCTTTCCAACTCTAACAAATCCATAATAACAACGCATAGAAAGCCTATTGTGTTGGACATTCGTATTCAATACATATGTACCATTTTTCTTTGACTGTTTCTGATATCACTCATGAACACAGCGGGATCCGTACCATTAAAAATTGTCGTAGACTGTTGCTATCTCGCTAATGTGAAATTCTAACAAGGGTCCGATAATGATAAATAGTGTGAAATTTTTCTAGTGTGCACGCGTTGTTACAGCCTTCGAATCCTCATTATAACCATTCCACACATACGAAACTACGTAATTATATTGAAGCAGAAGTAATAGTAAGAAGGTTTCCAAAAAAGTATGGGATCCAAAATAGAACATGAGGAAATCATGACTGTAACACAACTCCTTCCCCACAAATGCTGTGTGATCTACCCCTGAGGTTATAGTAATAGGAAAAACATTTAAATGAAATATGACAGAATGTCGATTCGATAACCAGACCTCCTTTTTGGATTCAGCACCCTTTCACACCTTTCTCCTATGCCCGTTCTATCCTCCTTTCTTTCTCGCTCTCCTGTCTTCCTTGCTGTCCGATAAGTTTACACACGTCGTTAAACTTACCACTCACTTCACCTCTTGTTTGTCACGTTTCCACCTCTCACTTCGTTAAAACAAATAACGAACCAAAATGCCCATGCTAACATCCCCCATGTTTATGAACTTATGGATGGGTCCAAAGAAACAAGCAAGGAAGGAAAGGTATCACGAGAAACTTGCTTTCCAAGTGAAAGATATAATAATGGGCGAACCCGTTACTAAAGACAACAAGAAGAAACGTGCAGTAAAGGCCTTGCAGAGACATGATACAGCAATGAATATTGTCAACATTCTCAAAAGTATGCCGGATCCTACTGCAACGCAGGAAGAGCAAGTAGAGGAAGTGGAAAAGAAAGGGAGCACTAATGATGTCAACAGTGTTGTTAATAATGATAACGGCAATGTCGTTACAAAGAAGTCAAATCACTCTTGGTTTTCATTTATGAGATTCAATAATACCGAGACAAAAACAACAGCCTCATCTGAGACGTCCAATTCCTCAGAAAACCCTGGTCAAGATTCTCGCGTAATTAGCGCATCTGCAGAAGTTTCGGTCACTCAATCGTCCAATTCCACAAAACTTGTACCTAAACCTCATTTTCGGCCGTCCGAGACTGAAATCTCTGTCCACATATTTTGGTGGGGTTACGAAATCTACGTTCCTACCCCTTGTATGGGTCGTTTGAATCAAGCTCAGAACGTCAGTCAGGCTTTCATTGGGTTCATACGTTCAATTGCCGGTTCTGTTACTGCTTTGACACCGTATTGGGGATTTATATCGGCCTGGGTTGGATTGCAATTTAGCATTATCAAAATGCAGGATAATGGTCATGGCGTTGTGATAGCTGCCACATGGTAATATGCCAGAAAAGTTGATTTGGTTTGGTAATTGTTATAATGTCGGTTTTAATGACAGTATGACTTTTCTCTTCGTTTAGGGTACTTCCTATTGCGTTGATACCGCGACCTTGGTAAGTTAATTTTTTTTGGCTTTCCTTTATATGTGTCTATTGTGACTAACCTCGTGTCGCTTATTTTATAGGGACGTTGAAGATTGATTGAACATTCTTGTATTTTTATGTGATCTGCTTGTAGATATTAAATTTGTATATTTCTTTATTATCTATATTATGTACAATATATTCAGTCGATCTATTATTACCATGTATTGAGGCTATTATAATCAGAGTAAATTATCTTAAGTGTCTACCCAACGAAAGTAGTACTCTCATCTTTCCTGGCAAGTCTTGATTTGTCCAATATTTTTCGTTAGAATGACGGAAATCTACTGATTTATTTATCTCGGACGTGTGACGTTATGTTATCGCTTACTAATTGAATATTTGACCATATAGTCGCGTTGAACTTTACTAACTGAAGTTAGGCACCAGGACAGTCATCTCATTCATTATGATATCATTCGCCCTACACTAGTTTCGCATTGCAACAAATCTCTTCTATTGATACTCTCACAAACTGTTCATTCCAACGATAGTAATTATAACAGAATATATAATCAGTTTATTATATAAATATTATTCGATACTATTACAGTATTAATACATGGAATGAGAGGATGAATTATCGTTCATTGAGCTACTAACACAGACTATTTGTTCCAATATTCGCTATTCTATTTTACGTATAAGCTTTAAGGGAATTAGGCAGATAGTAGTATTGCGTTAAGTCAACCTTTTTATTTATTTAGCGAGGACTAAAGGTTGCTAAACTCGTATGCTCGAAACGTTCCACTGTCTTATCTGGGCTATCTTTTGCTTAAAGATGGAGTTCTTCTTAGCTCATCCAACAAGCTACTCAACTTCTTTGCTATATATAATGGTTTAATGTAACAAATAAGCAAATAATAACAATATAGTTATGCGAACGTTTATATTTAAAGATTTCTGTTTACTCTAATCATTAACGCGTTTTTCACGAAATCTCGTCTCCAGAGGAATGTCAAAGCTCAAAAGGGAAATCTTTCCCAGAAAACCATTAAGTTGCAAATTTATGGTTGTATCTATAGAAATAATAAGTATGACAATGTATTAATCATCCATATCAATATTCCCGACAGCGTGACTATAAAGAGGGTTGACTGTAGTAGTCCACAAGAAAACTTTCGTACTGATATAGTACTCGTCGCCAGTGTCTTGGAAGGTTCAAGCTATAGCATATAAAAATTAGGCTTTTATGTATCAAAAAAGGGTGATTATACGAAGATAAGGGGAAAAAACTGATGACATATGATCGATACTTCGTAATCTTGCACATAGTACGATTGTATACTAAATAAAAATAGTAAAATTCAGAAGATTCTGTCTCTGTAAAGGAGGACGTAAATCCTAAAATGGCCATTCGTAATTCGAGTTTATTTATTTATTTATTTATTTATTTATTTATTTACAAGCTGTGCATCGACGATCATGAATTTCATGATCGCCGATTTATAAACCCGTGCGCTATTCATATTCATGGCATATTATAATATTCACAAAATGTCGCCAGATCGAAAGGAAAAATATTATTATCAGATCACATACGCTGCTCGTAAAAACGAAGCACTTACGGTTTTCTTGTATACGGCTATTCACAGCAATTATAACGCACAGCAGAGCACGAAACATAAGGCAATTTCTAACGATGCCACCCAAGAGGAAACTACCCTCTACCATTACAGAGCTTGCTGCCGCAACCGCCGTAGACTCTACAACTTTACCTCAAACGCCTAGCAAACGGCAGAAAACGGTATCTATGAGAAAGCGAGCAATGCCTCCAGGAAGGCAAAATACTCCAAAACTCAAGACTACTTCCAAATGGTCTCCAACCTCTGTTTCTAGTCTTCCTCCCTCTCATTCCATTCCTGGTCTTTCCTCTTACGACTTTCCCAACGAAAACTGCTTAATGTGGTTTCGTTCCGACCTCAGATTACAAGACAATCCTGCTTTATCAACAGCAAGTAGAATTGCCCACGCTAATAGTAAATTCCTATTTGCACTATACATCATATCTCCGCAAGATTGGCAATTACACGATACAGCGGCCATTAAAGTTAATTTTATTATGAGAAGTCTAAAGGTATTAAAAGAAAAACTGGCTGCACTAAACATACCATTGATTGTAGAGACAGTAGAGGAGAAAAAGAACATTGCGAGAGCGTTGACGGACATTTGTCAGAGAATTAATGTCAGTCACGTGTTTTCCAATATTGAATACGAAGTAAGGAAAGATCAGTAATGAGGTTTTATGTTTAAAGAGAGAAACATTTAAGTATTCGTCTGTTGTCAGGTTGATGAACAGAAGCGCGATAAAGAATGCCAGAATGAATGCGAGACACATAAAATCAAGATTGAATTCTTTCATGATCAATGCGTAGCTATTCCAGGTTCAATTGTATCCAAGGTAAGTCACATATATCTATTCGACATATTCAACGTAAAATATATATGATTTTAATATTAAACAATCTGTATACATAATTGCCTGCCTCACGTACTTATACGGACGCGATACTTGTCTTAATTACTCTTTATATTAATACCTTTTCTAAAATTCTACATCGTCCAAGCCTTCTAATTTTCTCACGCACTAATTCATCTAATAGGAAAACAAACCTTATACCGTGTACACTCCGTTTAAAAAAAACTGGCTGTCTACCGTAGAATCGACAGAGGCGTTTTTACAACTCTCTCCACCCCCAACCACACCTTTTCCGTCTTGTATCCGATCCACCCAACCTTCTCTCTTCTCTCTTCCTATACCTTCTTCTCCGGGAATTTATGAATACCCACTCGCTCTTCTCTCCATTTCATGTGAACTCTATCCAGCAGGAGAAGACGAAGCTCATAAGCGTTTGAATGCGTTCATCGAGAAAAAGATTAATTCATATCACGATGACCGTGATATTCCTTGCATAGATGGATCAAGTGGTCTATCTCCGTATTTAGCTTCAGGGGTGATTTCCTGTCGTCAGTGTGTGAATGCTGCTCGTAGGGCAAATGGCAACAAACTACAAATAGGGAAAAAAGGTATTGTTTCATGGATTGCAGAGTTGGTGTGGCGAGATTTTTATCGCCATGTGTTGGTGGCCTTTCCCAGAGTTTGCATGAATAGAGCGTACAAGATACAATATGAAAACGTGAAATGGAATGAGAATGAGGAGATGTTTCAAAGATGGTGTGAAGGCAAGACTGGATATCCCATTGTTGATGCTGGTATGAGACAGCTTAATGGAAGCGGGTGGATGCATAATAGGGTTAGGATGATTGCTGCTATGTTTTTGGTTAAAGGTGAGAGAAGCTATGTTCACGTCTTTTTAAATAGTGGCAGGATAAAGAGAGAATATTAGTAAGGAAAGCAATGATGCTGCTGTTTGTAAGAGAATGGACGCTTTATTACTTACATTATTTAGTAAACCCCCCCCCCCCCCCCAAAATTACATTTCTGTATGCTTATTCAACTTTTACTGTTTTATTTCTGTCATTGGTTGTACCTTCAAAGACTTGCTGATTAATTGGCAAAAAGGAGAAAAGTATTTTATGCAACATTTAATTGATGGTGACTTTGCAAATAATAATGGAGGCTGGCAATGGGTAAGTGGTTATACTGGATCGTAAACTTTATCTTAAAAAAATATTAATATACATATCACTATTGCCACATTGCAGTGCGCGTCTAGCGGAACAGACGCTCAGGTAAACTTCAGTTTATTAATTACGGTTGAGATCAATTCACTGTTGAAGGCCTAATCAAAATTGCATTTTTATTAGCCATATTTTAGGATATTTAATCCTCTTCTTCAATCTCAGAAGGTAAGCATTTCAAATTTTCTATAGTGGATCAACCCAACGGATTCACGTTCTGTGTGATTAATATATTTTCTCGTTTGTTAGTTTGACCGAGATGGAATATATATCCAGAAATGGGTCCCTGAACTGAGGAGTCTGTCATCGAAACTCATCCACGATCCGTATGGATCATTGAGTCCAAAGGAATTTCAGCAGTTAGGGTAAGCAATAGTAGGCATCGACTTCTATACAACATGGTACTGAGTTTGATACCATCATTACTAAATTATATTCGTAGATATCCTGCACCGATTGTCGATCATAAAGTTGCAAGACAGTTATGTTTGGAGAGATTTAAGGAAGCACTTGGGAAATAAGAATAACGGTTCGATATTACAAAGGAAGGAAATTTACAAAAATTTACAAATATACTAGAAAACATGTAATAACCAAAGATTTTTAATTTCTACTTGCAACAAGAATAATATTGTTTAACAATTCACAGAAAAAGTAATTGCAAGATAAATCGATACAAATAATTAAGCATATAAAATAAAGAAGCAAATACAAGACAAAACCCAAATTAACGTACAATAAGATTTGCTATACCATATCATATAGGGTATATGCATATATTCTATGTCGAGAATAACAACACTTTGAATGAATATTGGTCGTATTCTCAATCTTCAATGTTATATCATTACTACAAAATTGCTTGGTAACAACCCACGAACTCTACTGTCAACAATCTCACCATCCCACCATCCATCATCCTGAGTCCTGAAAACGGCAATAATATCTCCCACTCTGAAAGACATTTCCTCGGGAGCATTAGCTGTGTAATCATACATTGCCCTAACTGTTTAAAGAAAACAATGCATTATTAGTATAATTAGTCGAAGATGTATATTCTTCACCGCGTCTGCTCAAGTCCCAATCTCTTTTAATTTATGACCCTTTCTAATCGATACCACACTTCCTTTTACTCACCATGAAATAGTATCGGTTTCCCGTCAGCAGTATGATTGAACCTCCCAGGGGCACCACCATATTTTGATGGTCGTCCAATTGTAGAATTTCTCTGTATTGTAGACGTTTGACTTCCAAAGCCAGTTGGTCCCCTATTTTGCTGGAAAGCTCCTGGCTGTACTGCTGGCGGATGACCCGATCCGAGAGGATATCCTGTGGCTATAGTACTATTACGCGTCAGTCCCGGGTTAAGCCGTAACGGGGGTTGAGACGCTGGATTATTTGCCAAAGATTGTCGCTGCGGGCTATTTACACGCATTGAGGCATTTGATGGAATCTGTGCTCCATACTGACCATTTGGGGCTTGATACATAGAAGTGCGGAATTGTTGTGCCTGAATGGAGGATTGGCCGCGATCGATTGAATTTCGTGCCGCGTTGTTAACACTTTGGAATCGAGCAGATTCCAGAGGAAGACGATTACCGTTAGCAACATATTCATCAGCAAGACTATCCTGAATTACTCGTCCTTGTGCATCGAGAGTGATGCCCAGTATAGCAGTAGAAGCACGATATGAATCAGGGCGGACTGTTCCTTGGTTTACTGGTTGCGGTGGCGCTCCATTAGTCGACGAGATGTTAGGCGGCGTTGCCGGTTGTGCTTGGGATGACTGGGGAGGAAATTCGGATTTTTGAGGAATTGTTGAATTAAAGTAATCCGGAGGAGGTTGTGAAGGAGGCTTGTATGGAGGCTGAGTCTGTAGATTATTTTGGATTTGTTCTTCTTCTTGCTGTTGTCGCTGCAGTTGTAATAGTTTTTGCTGCAGTTCTTCTTGCTGCAGCTGTTGCTGTTGTTGCTGTTGTTGTTGTTGTTGTTGTTGCTGCTGCTGCTGCTGCTGTTGTTGTTGTTGCTGTTGCTGTTGTTTCTGTTGCTGTAGCTGCTGTTGCTGTAGCTGCAGTTGTTGCAGTTGTTGTTGTTGCAGCTGTTGTTGTTGCAGCTGTTGTTGTTGCAGCTGTTGTTGTTGCAGCTGTTGTTGTTGCAGCTGTTGTTGTTGTAGCTGTTGTTGTTGCAGCTGTTGTTGTTGCAACTGTTGTTGTTGTTGTTGCTGCTGCTGCTGCTGTAATGGTGGTGGTGGTGGTGATGATGGCGGTGGTGGTGATGATGGCGGCGGTATTATGGTCGCGTTTGTAACAGTAGGCGGAATAGACGGCTTCGGCGTGCCATGTGATGGAGCTGGTGTATAATTAGCAGACGCTGTCGGCTGTTCTAAATTATCCCCTGACTGTTCTGCACGTTCTAATTCCGCCAATGCTGCAGCAATTGGATCGTGCTCTATATTTCTACTTGCCTGAAACGCAGTGGTATTCACTGAAAATTGATTAGAGCCTACGCTAAGTATTTGTTGTGCTTGCGGATTTAATGGTTCATCATCGGTGGCAGCATCTGGTGTTGCTGGAAGCGGGGCATCTTTGGTTGTAGTGTTTGTTACATTGGAGGATGATACCGATGCATATAGAGACGCTCGTCTATTGCCAGTTGTTGGATCATTAATAAATGCTGGAGTAGATTGAGACGTTAGCTGCGGGGGAGTGTACGTATTTAATCGTGTTGCAGTTGATAACGGTGCCTGTGCCGATGAGGTGATCGAAGAAATTTGGTTGTCTATTGATGAATCTAACTCGGAACTTGCAACAGCATTTTTAATAACGTATGGTTGGTTTCTTTCGAAATTCGCCGTAGTGTATTGCGGTCCCGGATCCTTCTGTGTTGCGTAGAAGTTGACGTACGAAACTGATTCTGCAGAAATATTAAAAGTGTGTCAATAACGTCGTTTTTAATTTAGCTTGACGCCGTTCGAGTAACCATTTGCAATTAACATTAGTCGTGTACATGCCTGGAATCTGCGGTCCTGTCGCTCGTTCCTTTATAAATGTTGCAATATCTTTGGCTACATCACATTTTTCCAACGGCATTCTGATCCTCTCACACGACTATTATTATATGAAATTAACAGCATAGAGGCTTAGAATACAAGTTGTAGGAATAAAGCAGCGTGAAAAGTAACTAAAATGTTCCATACCTCATCATCTTGTACTAACACAGCTGCTATTAGATTTGAATATGCCCATATCTTGGTTTTTGTAAATTCTATTCTTTCTTCCTCTAAGGTTTGAAATGTCTACAGAAAATAGATTGAACGGTGAGCTTCAAAGTGATGGATTCGATATTGCAATCGTCGGGCAATAGTTACATCACAAGCCGCTTTCCAGTCATAAATCCACCTTTGTGTTAAATCGGCCATTGTCTTAACAAAATGCTTATATTCTTGATCTAAAATGAAGTGACAAAACAATGAATTAATGACAGGATATAGAATTCGATGTCTCTATGGTTCAATCCAATATCGAAGTAATATTCGTAAGTGTCAACATGATGCTAACCTGCCATTTGAGACGACTGCTGAGCCTTTTCGATTTTCATGTTTAACTACAAACCATTTCCATAAACTTGTTAGCTATTACTTATTCAATACGAGTGCGATTGATATATACATTTGTAATCACCCTTTCCAGTTCCTTTCCTCTTGCCGATTGTTTTGATGCTATCAATCCGCTCAATTTAATACATTCTCCATCGTATTTTTCTTTTGCCTGGTTAATTAGGAAATATATTACAATATTAGATAATTTACGCATGGTGTAATTGATTAAATTTAATATAATTGACTTCATTGATTACCCTCTGAACATAAGTCATCTGTAATTGCTTATTCCGGAGACTTTTGTCAACGATCGTTGTTTGCTGCAACGTAGTGCAATGTATGATTAAAATATTTTTGAATATTTGGTAACGTAATTGTGATTGTTTTAATTACTTTATTCCTGGAGTGAAAATATCGTTGCCATTATAAATATGTAATGTACCTCTCGTTTTTTTTCCTTTTGTTGTGTGATAAAGTCATTACATTGCTGCTGCAACTCGTCTCTAATGCGTTGGGCAAGCTCAATATGTGCATTTCCGCTTGTCTCTAATTCGGTGCGTGTTGTCTCAAGTGCTTCCCGAAGGGTGCCGGTTTCATCTTTGCCAAGCGGAGCTTTGGACAATTTAAGCAACCGACGACCATAATCTTCTTCAATAACTGCCCTATTGCATTGAGTTTGTTGATAAGAATGTAAGTATAAATTATAACCCAAGTTTGCTAGTCATAATCAATAACCACACATTGCTTATAGCTTGGTTTAGATAGAAGGTTTGAGAGATAAGTCAATTGCTACTATAGTAATAAAATAGATCGTTTATTTGCATGGACCAACCTTTCATGGAACATTGTCTTTAGTTCCTCACACGTCTGCCGTGCCTCTCTAAGGCGTGTTACAAGGGCTTCATAGCCTGCCTCGTCCTTTCCCTATTCATCAAAAAGCATCAACATCAATGACCTACTATCCACAGGGGAAAACCAGTTCAACATATTCATACTTATCGCTCAAGACATACCCAAAAATGATTAGCAAATATCTCAGGCCGAGCGCCTATTTCGTCCTGTGCCATGATTACGCCTCGAATGAAGAAAGCGAAAAGGTGCAAAGAAACATTCTTCCGACAAGTAGTAAACAGATGTCGTAATCCAATTGTATAACGCGGCGCAGTGATTATTTAAGATAACCTGTTCTACATCATCGGTTGATCCCACTAACCTAATTTTATCCTAGCAGAGAATCACGTTGGTATGTCCGATTTGTTCTACCGACAGTTCGGGCTCCCGACATTATAGTCAAGTTTTAGTTTATCGACGTAAAAGGAAGACGAACGTATCCAATCAGAAATGAAAGTTAGATATTTACATAACAATAACGATAGGGCCTATATTGTCGAGAGCACACTTTCGGGTTATAAAGCTTTTCTGCATTCATTCATTTCCATAACAAGTATCGAGGGAAAATTAATTCCAGCATTGGAACAAAGGAACGATTTGCAGGAACAGAAACCGAAGAGAAAATCACCAAGGCGATTAAAAGTTGATGTTGTGAAACGTGGAAATCATGCGAGAGTCTATGAAAATTGAAAATCCTCGGACATTACACAGATTTGCCGAATACATTCTCAAAAGGTAATTCGTCCCAAACATCTGTGACTGCGTTCGTATAAACTTAATATAGACCCAAGAAAGGAAATTCTAATGAAGGCGAGACATGCTCGTAAAGTAGTGGAAAATTTAAAGCGTATAAAAAAAGGACTAATACTAACAACTGAACCTTATCTTTATAATATTCCAGAACCATAGTAGTGGAAGGAGAGAATTATTATAATAATAACGATTGGAGGGTACCGTGGAAGAAAGGTAACTATATGGAATTCTCAGAAGTAGTAAAGAAGTTTAACAAGAAAATTGATATGAATTATTATCCAAAGAATGCTTATAAATAGTAGTAAATTCTTTGAGCCGCTATATGATTCTGAATTCTTAAAAGTATTACAGATGCAGATGAACTCTGGACAATAGAAAAAATAGTATGGTACAAAAATCCGCCAACAATGGCTCAAAAATATATGAAAGACTTACACGATGCTCCGAAGAAAGAAGGAGCCGTTCTATCTCATCTATGGAAAGAGGTTAATACATATGTGGGGAAAGTATTCATGTAAATAGAACTGTAAAAACGGAGGTGTTTCTCGCTGGCTTCCAGCGACAATGGTAATGTTACACTTGCCAGTGTAGGACTACGACTTCCTCTGTTTAGACGAATGCATCGTAATACTATATGATCAGCGATTATATTATTTACAGTAGTTCTGACCATATAGTAAAACAACGGCCTTTGCCGTCAAAGTAAACTGACAGTTAGTTTCGATGGGTCCGCGAAAGGAAACTCGCCGCATCGTCAAAATCAACTGACGATATAAAAAATAAAGTCAAATAAATTATCTATCTAATTTCATTTTGGTATAGTAACGGTATAAGAGGGCCAGTTATTTTCATTTTGGCAGCGTTTCGGTATAGGACTCGAATTAATTATTATTTAGGCAGAGTTTCGGTATAATTTTGCAATTTCGTGAGAGTTTCGTTTACAACTGTGAATTCACACATACAAGCGACGTAAGTCACAGAAAAACGCCTTTCAACTTTGCGCGATTAAGTAGTTTATATTTAATTTCCACTTCCCATAACATTGTATCAGACAACTTGCTTAAACCAAGTCGTCAAACAGTCCTTTAAATACAAATTCTAACTACAAGATCAACCCGATAAACCGAAGATGTCGGCGCAGCAATTTTCTTCGGATTAGCGGGGTTGCTCCATAAACCGAAGTGTATATTCAGGGAAACCATGACGGGGCAAGTCTCAAGCTGCCAGATAACATATATCGTAATCACTACTCTTTATTCGCTTCTTACTACACTAACAGCTTGTGAAATAACTGCTTATTTGAGATTAAACCTTAAAGTCAGAGATTGATTGACGTATTT